GAGATCATGTCCAAGATTGATGATCTCAGATAATGCCACCAATTTTGTAGCTGGTGCTCAACACTTGATGGAATTAAATAAGAGTGATGATGTACAGTCTTTGTTGACCCAGCGAGGGTGTGTCTGGAAATTTATTACTCCCAGAGCCTCTTGGCAGGGAGGACTGTACGAAAGAATGATAGGTACAGTGAAAAGATGTCTTCGTAAGGTGCTACACAGGAAGAGAATTAATTTGGAGGAATTCCATGCAGTGTTGGTGGAGGCAGAGAATCGGGTAAACAATCGCCCTCTGTCATACATGAGCGACACTCCTGACGCGGAGATCCTGACTCCCTCTCACCTAATTTGTGGACAAAGGTTAGAAGCTGCACCTATCTATAGAGATAATCCCGAGGGAAGTGATGAGGATTACAATAACGTGACCGTGTTGAGTGATAAGTTCAAGATGTTAAATAAGGTAATTACTCATTGGTCTGATGTGTGGCGTAAAGAATATCTTCTTACACTACCTGAACACTTTTATGGTGCGCCAGAGGCAGTAAACCGACAGAACATTCAACCAGGTGACATTGTGTTAATTGATACTGAACAACATCGAATATTGTGGCCTCTGGGCAAGGTAGTTACATTATACCCAGATGCACAAGGTGTTGTCAGAAACGTCAAAGTGTTGTGTCGTGGTCAGGAAAGTTTGCGTACCATTAATAAATTAATTCCCTTAGAATTAAATGGTGTTCAATCCAGTGCAGATGGAAATCTAAGGGAAAGTGACACGAGTGATGTTGAAGACACTGACCGAGTAATGCAAGAAGAAATTGTAGTAAGACCCACTAGGAAAACAGCAGTGCAATCTAGAGAGGGCTGGAATCGTCTCCTGGAGGAAGACGCAATTTAAGTCGTCTAACAACGACTTCCGCCCGGCCGCAGTGTGGAAATTATTTAATTTCCGAAGCTATAGTGCCTAATAAGTGTTTAATGTGTTGATTTGGGTCAAAATGTATTTGTATTTTGAATGGAACCAACTGGGTTCCCGCTGCGCCTGCGCAGATGTGCGGGGGTGTAGGTCGAACTGGGGCACGAGGTGGCGGGAGTGCTTTGAATGTAGTGAGGAAGCTGTGAAACATGGGATCAGGAAATTGGCGTTCACGGCGGCCTAAGGATTAATATAGGCCTCACTTCCTAATAGGAAGTGTCGTAATTGTTCCTGGTGAAGAGTGAGGGAACGAGATTTACGTGACCACCGTGATAAAGTGGTAAAATAAGTGGATAATAGTAGGACCGTGCGTGACGGGTGCGCCGCCATGGAATGTGTCCAGGGGAAATTACCCGTGAGTTAATCCTCACTCATCGGTCTCAGATTTTAATGGAGTGACCTCTATTGTGTATAATAATTATGAGACGTTAAATCGTCTTGTGAATGGTAATGTAATCAGTGATAATAACATTAAGTTAATAGAATGCGGGAAGTGAAATAAATCGCCCTGCTCCGAGTGAACGCGTGGTTCTCGTCCCGAGGATAGCGAAGTTTTATGGAATCACGACTTCTAAACCGGGACAAACCAAGGGAAATGCCTCGTCCTGCTGGAATAAGAACCGTGTCGGTGTAGCAGGACATCGAAAAGAGATGGTGAATGGAGAAAATAAGGAGCATCAATCACCCACAGTTAAGTAACCTTTCTAGTTATAGCAGACTGATACTGGCCAGTTAGGTATGGTTTAATTGGATAGGTTATGGGTGATCCAGCCACATCAAGTGACCACCAGAGAATATCTGGTTTAAATGGTGGGATTATGTACAAGTGTTTTTTCCTTGATGGGTATATCCATGTGTAACCTACCCCCCCCCCCATCATTCAGTTAAACTAATATAATCTATACAGTCCACAATTAATTAGTAGCGCCGTACTTGATGGTGCTACCCAATTTATACTGGTCTCGGATAGATATGGATAAGATTGTGAGGGTCGAGGAGCCACCTGCAGTGACCAGAGGTGGTTAAGTTTTCTCACATGTCTACATGGGTGACTATGGTAAACAATATCGTTGTTGTCTCCCAAGGTAAGTATTCTCTATAAGGATTACAATGCTGAGTTTACAGAAATTTGGTTATTGTTTGGTTTACATGTAGTAAAATTGTGATTACAGAGTGTACCACTAGAACGCTTAGCATGGCTAGGCATTTCGGGCATACTTAGTTTTATTCTTAATTGTAAAATATTACAAATTATGAGGTAAGTTGGTCTTATGGCTAAGTGACTAAATACAAGTTTATGAGTTTAGCAATGTGAATGCTTTTGTTTTGGCACAGTATATAGTTTCAGTATTGGAGTATCACAGGATTCATTATTTTAAGACTGAGATTAATATTTCTGTTTATAGTCAATTGAGTGAGCGAGTGTAAGTGGAACCACCAGGTGGTATTCGTGTAGTTAGTTGACGGGGTGTATCAGGGAGATAAGATGTTTTCTAATGGTAGTTTTGAAGGTGATGAATGTGTCTGCAGTTCTAGAGTTCTCAGGTAGGGTATTCCAGATTTTAGGGCCTTTGATATACATTGAATTTTTGTAAAGGTTTAGTCGGACACGGGGAATGTCGTAGAGATGTTTGTGTCTGGTGTTATGCCTGTGGGTTCTGTCACAACTATCAAGAAAGCGTTTTAGGTCAAGGTTGATATTAGAGTTTAAGGCCCTGTAGATATAGATTGCACAGTAGTAAGTGTGGATGTACTGAACTGGGAGTAAGTTTAGATCTTTGAAGAGTTTGGGGGGGGTGTGCTGCCAGGGATGGGATTTAGTGATTTTTTCTTACTGCAGCTTTTTGTTGGGTTATTATTGGCTTTAGGTGTGTAAACTGCAGTTGATCCCCAAGCACAAATAGCATAGGTGAGGTATGGATAAATAAGTGAGTGGTATAGTGTGAGAAGGGCATTTTGTGGCACGTAGTATCGTATCTTGGAGAGGATCCCAACCGTTTGGATACTTTTTTGGCTATTATGCTGGATATGGGTGCTGAAATTCAGGTTGTTGTCAAGGTATAAGCCTAGGAATTTTCCCCCATTTATTTCTGGTAATTAGAGTGTTGTCAATCTTAATGTTAATTTGTGCATCTCCTGCTCTGCTACCAAACATAATATAGTAAGTTTTGTCAGTGTTAAGCGTAAGTTTATTGGCTGTCATCCAAGTCGATATTTTAATCAGCTCCTCATTCACAATGGTGTTGAGGGTGGCAAGATTAGGGTGAGAGATGACATAAGGTCGTGTCATCAGCAAAGAGAATGGGTTTCAGGTGTTGGGATACGTTTGGAAGGTCATTGATGTATATGAGGAAGAGCAGGGGACCAGGACACTTCCCTGCGGAACTCCAGTATCAAGTGGCCGGGGTTGCTGATGCTGTGTCTTTAATGGTGACGTACTGATACTTATTAGTAATGTAAGATTTGAAATAAGCAAGCGCATGGCCTCTTATACCGTAGTGGTCAAGTTTGTGGAGTAGGATTTGGTGGTTTACTGTGTCAAAAGCTTTTCTTAGGTCAATAAAAATTCCTAGTGGATATTCCTTATTTTCCAATGCTGTGTAAAGCAGATCTAGCATTTTTATGATTGCATCATTAGTGCTTTTATTTTTCCTGAATCCAAACTGGCAGGGGTTGAGCATGTTTTGAGCCGTTATAAATGAATATAGTCTCCTGTGCACGAGTTTCTCAAAGATTTTGGATAGCAATGGTAAGTTAGATATTGACCTATAGTTGTTTAAGTCTGTAGGGTCACCACCTTTATGTATTGGTGTAACCCTTGCCATCTTGAGTAGTTTCGGGAAGGTTCTAGTCTCTAGTGACTTGTTAAAAAGTAATGAAATAGCATGCGAAAGGACATGGGCCGCTCGCTTGTACAGTAATGGTGGGACATGAGACAGATTCCCAGAGTTATTTTTAAGTGACTTTATGATCTCAATGACTTCCGTGGGCTCAGTTGGTGCAAGATAGAAGGAATTAGGGAAATTACCATCTAGGTAGTAAGTAAGTAAGTTTATTCAGGTATACACAAATACAGTTACATAGAATTATCGTACATAGCAGCGTATATGTAGAGAACCTGGGATAACCCAAAAAAGTCAGACAGAGTGACTCGTCACTCGTTACTCGTATGCATGTAATGTTGAGGTATGTACAAGTAATCACTCCTATAAAATTTTCCATAGTAACTACACATATACTGCTATGTATGATAATGTATATAACTACATATACACTGCTATGTATGATAATCTATGTAACTATATTTGTGTATACCTGAATAAACTTAGTAATATAGACAAGTATAGAGGTGTATATATGTGGGAGAGATGGTAGTGTGATGTTGTGGGTGTATATACACAGTATATAGGCATCTCAGAGTGTATATACACACAACATACATCAGTATGAAGGTATATACACCAGTATAAATGTATATATACCAAGATAGAGGTATATATAAGGAGGGTTGGTAGTGTAATGTTGTGGGTGTATATACACAGCATATAAGAGTATATACACACAATATGCATCAGTATAGATGTATATAGGCTAGTATAGATGTATATATACCAAGATAAAGGTATATATAAGCCAGAGTTGGCAGTGAGAGGTAATAACGTTCTAAGTACATATACCAATATAGATGTATATATACCAATATAGAAGTATATATAGCAATATAGAAGTATATATAGCAATATAGAAGTATATATAGCAATATAGAAGTATATATAGCAATATAGAAGTATATATAGCAATATAGAAGTATATATAGCAATATAGAAGTATATATAGCAATATAGAAGTATATTAGCAATATAGAAGTATATAGCAATATAGAAGTATATATAGCAATATAGAAGTATATATAGCAATATAGAAGTATATATAGCAATATAGAAGTATATATAGCAATATAGAAGTATATATAGCAATATAGAAGTATATATAGCAATATAGAAGTATATATAAGTGACGATGCTCACTTGTAGTCAGCTGTTGCAGCAGCAGCAGCAGCAGCAGTGTTGTTGTGTCAGCTTGATGATTAAGCTTGTGTAGTGAAGCTTAGTGTTGAGGTAGAGTGAGGTACCATGAGGTAGAGTGAGGTACCATGACCTCCACCATCACCTCCACCATCACCTCCACTATGGAAGCCATTAAGAAGAAGGTTTATCACGCCGCCAAGTTGGGTCTCTCCATCTCTCTCTACGCTCACTTGTCTGTCAAGGCTCAGCACGAGTGTCAGCACCTGCTAGGACAGGTCTGTCAGCACCTAGCTGGGTTGTGGTGCAGCTCCTGGGCCGGGGGGGAGGGGTTAATGGCGTCTCTAGGTCATCCCTGTTATTGTTGTGGCCCCTCAAGGAAGGTTCCTTGATGTTGGTGAGGGGCTCTTGATTTAGGGAATTGGATCTGTGCTCCAGTTCCCCGAATTAAGCCTGAATGCCTTCCACATCCCCCCCCTCCCAGGCGCTGTATAATCCTCCGGGTTTAGCGCTTCCCCCTTGATTATAATAATAATAATGTTATTGTTGTGTCAGCACCTGCTAGGACCTGCTAGGATGTCAGCACCTGCTAGGACAGGTCTGTCAGCACCTAGCTGGGTTGTGGTGCAGCTCCTGGGCCGGGGGGAGGGGGTTAATGGCGTCTCTAGGTCATCCCTGTTAAGGTTGTGTCAGCACCTGCTAGGATGTCAGCACCTGCTAGGACCTGCTAGGACAGGTCTGTCAGCACCTAGCTGGGTTGTGGTGCAGCTCCTGGGCCGGGGGGAAGGTTAATGGCGTCTCTAGGTCATCCCTGTTAAGGTTGTGTCAGCACCTGCTAGGACTTCCTAGGACCTGCTAGGATGTCAGCACCTGCTAGGACAGGTCTGTCAGCACCTAGCTGGGTTGTGGTGCAGCTCCTGGGCCGGTGGGAGGGTTAATGGCGTCTCTAGGTCATCCCTGTTAAGGTTGTGTCAGCACCTGCTAGGACCTGCTAGGACAGGTCTGTCAGCACCTAGCTGGGTGGGGGAGGGTTGTGGTGCAGCTCCTGGGCCGGGGGGGAGGGTTAATGGCGTCTCTAGGTCATCCCTGTTAAGGTTGTGTCAGCACCTGCTAGGACCTGCTAGGACAGGTCTGTCAGCACCTAGCTGGGTGGGGGAGGGTTGTGGTGCAGCTCCTGGGCCGGGGGGAGGGGTTAATGGCATCTCTAGGTCATCCCTGTTATTGTTGTGTCAGCACCTGCTAGGACAGGTCTGTCAGTACCTGCTAGGACAGGTCTGTCAGTACCTGCTAGGACAGGTCTGTCAGCACCTGCTAGGACAGGTCTGTCAGCACCTGCTAGAACAGATGTGTCAGCACCTGCTAGGACAGGTCTGTCAGCACCTGCTAGGACAGGTCTGTCAGCACCTGCTAGGACAGGTCTGTCAGCACCTGCTAGGACAGGTCTGTCAGCACCTGCTAGGATAGGTCTGTCAGCACCTGCTAGGATAGGTCTGTCAGCACCTGCTAGGATAGGTCTGTCAGCACCTGCTAGGATAGGTCTGTCAGCACCTGCTAGGATAGGTCTGTCAGCACCTGCTAGGTCAGGTCTGTCAGCACCTGCTAGGACAGGTCTGTCAGCACCTGCTAGGATAGGTCTGTCAGCACCTGCTAGGATAGGTCAGTCAGGACCTGCTAGGATACTAGGACAGGTCTGTCAGCACCTGCTAGGATAGGTCTGTCAGCCCCTGCTAGGATAGGTCTGTCAGCCCCTGCTAGGATAGGTCTGTCAGCCCCTGCTAGGTCAGGTCTGTCAGCAATAATAATAATATCAGTAATAATAGTAATAATTCTAATAGTAATAATAGCAATAATAATAATAATAGTAACAGCAGTAATTATAGTAGCATAATAATAATAGTAATAATACTGTAATAATAATAATAATAATAACAATAATAATAATAGTAATAATAATAATAATAATAATAACAATAATAATAGTAATAATAACAATAATAATAATAGTAATAATAGTAATAATAACAATAATAATAATAGTAATAATAATAATAATAATAATAGCAATAATAATAATAGTAATAATAATAATAGCAATAATAATAATAATAATAATAGTAACAGCAGTAATAATAATAATAGCATAATAATAATAATAGTAGTAATAATAATAGTAATAATAGCAGTAATAATAATACAGTGGTACGTTGACTTACGATTTAATTCGTTCCGTGACCGAGCTCGTAGCTCAATTTGCTCGTATATCAAATAAATTTTCCTCATTGAAGTTAATTGAAATACATACATACCATTAATCTGTTCCAGCCCCAAAAAAAACCACCCCAATTTTTTTGTTACGGGTTTTTAATAAGAAAAATGTATTTATAAATAAGAAATATTGTGTAAAAACATAAAAGAGAATGTAAGGGAATAAACTGGTTTTATAAAGTTTATTTACCTTGGAGATCAGACGACTTGGGCTAACGGAAGGTGCTGGTGGAGGGTCGAACTACAAGTCGACTACACGCACACCTCGATGTGTTTTTCTACGATTTCACGCTTTAATTAAGTGGACATCATCGTCTTCTTCTCAGCACTGTCTTTTGTACTTGCTTAGGACCCATGGTTAGTAAAACGAAATTTAGCAAAAAATACTTGACGAGTGGTGGTAGTGGAGACTGCCCCAGACCCACTGTGCCTGGGTGACGGCCACGTATATACAAAACTCGAAAGGCCTCGATGAACACATCTACCAGCATCACAAGCACCATCCTTCCAGTTAGCTTAAAAATGAATATGTGGGTACTGTACTTCCCACCTCCAGAACTGTAACATCCTCACTCATCCTGAATGTTGAAGACAGAGTAAAACAACTGAAGCTAAATCATGTTTATAAAATTGCTCACAAACAATGTCCAGAATATCTTGCTGTCAATTTTGTCAAGGTTGGGAACCAAAGCAATCATAGTACTAGGGGGAGAGAGCACAACTTTGTAGTACCCACAGTCAGTGGTCAGGCTTCAAACACCTTTTATTGTACAGCAATAAAGGAATGGAACAGACTGCCCACACATGTCAAAGCCAGTCATAGCATGAACCAGTTCAAGAAGACTGCCAAAAGGTGTCTGATGAATGTAGCTACAGAAAGGGAGGGGAATGATTTTCTATTTTTTAGCTAACATATGTGTAAATTTTACCATATTCCTAGTAATGACCCTCGTATTGTAGATAGTCTTAATGACCCTCGTGTAGTAGATAGTCTTTTTAGTATGATAAGATGTTATCTTCATTGTAGAATAATAAGAAAATATTATAACCTTTATATTATAATAATAAGGTAAAAGGACCCCAATGGAAATAAGTCACTCTGTCTGACTTTTTTGGGTTATCCCAGGTTCTCTACACATATGCTGCTATGTATGATAATTCTATGTAACTGTATTTGTGTATACCTGAATAAACTTACTTACTTACTTACTTATTCAGAGTACAGGTACTGTACTTCCCACCTCCAGAACTGTAACATCCTCACTCATCCTTCACAGTACAGGTACTGTACTTCCCACCTCCAGAACTGTAACATCCTCACTCATCCTTCACAGTACAGGCATTATATTTCTGACCTCCAGAACTCGAGTCCAATTTGATTCAGTTTTGAAGCCTCTCGACATTATATATTGTGACCCGTTATTTTGGTCACTGTTCACTCTGAGTGTCTAGTCACAGACTGGGTCACAGACCAGGTCACAGACCAGGTCACAGACCAGGTCACAGACTGGGTCACAGGGGCATTGATCCCTGAAACCCTCTCCAGGAACCTCCAGGTATGTCAGTGTTCGAAGCTTAGATTCTAAGGCGTAATTTTAATCTTTTTGTTCAGATTGTTTGAAGAATGCCTAAACTGATTTATTTAAAATGTGAGACACATTTTGTCTCAAACATGAATAGCTGATCAACATGTCTTACATAGTGTAAACTTTATATTTTGTCTTACCGTATAAAACTTAGCACTCAAGTTTATCATGAAAACCTTAAATTTTCATCACAGTTTGTGTACAAAATGTGGTTGGGGATAAACTATTTATTACAGTTATCCTTCTGGCATTGCTGGTTTTTGTGAGGTTATTGAACTTTAGTAGACAGTCATTTGAGATTTTGCCTTAAAGTCACTAGTTTATTGTGCACCCCATATCCATCCTATTGATGGTAGTGCAAGAGTGTACGCATACACAAAAGGCCTAGGAACTAGGACCTGTAAGGGTTTACAGGAATACATCTCGATTTATATCTACAGTTCAGTTATCTGTTACAAGCAAATTTAAGCCTGAAGTCACAAGAACATAAGAAAGGAGGAACACTGCAGGAGGGCTACTGGTCCATTCTTGGCAAGTCTGTGTCAAACCCAAATCCACTAACAAAAATATTTGCCCAACCCATTATCAATGTTACCCAAGGAATAAACTTTGACAACCCTATTAACTCATGTGCAAGTCTATATAATATTTTAATTCAACAGGTTGTAGAAGAAGATGGTCAGAAGTGTACACCTCTTATAATATCTGCACGCAACGGTCACGAGAAAGCTGTTCGTACACTTCTTAAGTTTAATCCAGATCTGGAACAAGAGGGAACTGTTAAGTTTGATGGCTATGTTATCGAAGGTGCAAGTCCATTATGGTGTGCAGCGGGTGAGTTGCGTTGTCTTTAGTTCTTCTTTAATAAACAGATTTTGATGAATTAGACATGTGCAATATCTGGGTGTTTTTATTTGTAGATGTATCACCACCCAGTGGCTTTATTGATACAAATTCAAGGATATAATGGGAAGACTGTAGAACTATATATGAAAGATAAGGTAATCAGTCCCTCAGTCTTGAAGTTGAAGATTATTGTAGTCCAGGGCTGAGGGACTGATTACCTTGTTGAAGAGTACTGTAGTCCAGGGCTGAGGGACTGATTACCTTGTTGAAGAGTACTGTAGTCCAGGGCTGATGGACTGATTGCCTCGTTGAAGAGTATACTGTAGTCCAGGGCTGATGGACTGATTACCTTGTCTTTCGCATATACAGATGCTCCTGAACTTTCGATGGTTCAACTTGCAATATTTCAACTTTACGATGGTGCGGGAGCAATTACTTTGGAGAAGAAACTTAAGATAATTACCCAACATGAAGGCAGCAAGTCCCAAACTTGTATTCATATATTTACTTTTCAATTCTGGTATTTAGTTAATTTCAGTAATTACAGCAGGGCCCCACTTATACTGGAGGTTTGGTTCTCTTTACACTCTAATTATACAGTGGACCCCCGAGTTTCGGCAGCCTCGACTTTCGCGAAATTCGACCTTCGGCGAGTTTTTTTTTTTTTTGAAAAATTTGGCCTCGACTTTTGTGAAAAAACTTGTGTTTTGGCGACCGTCCGGTACCCGTCCGCCCGTCACCGCGCACACAAAGCCAGTCTCCCACACCATTCACACTCGGTGTGCCATTGTTTACCAACACATGATCATCACCCCGCGGGTTCATACAATACATTTCATAATAATCCATTGTCTTTTGTGCTTGCAACTGCTAAATAAGTCATCATGGACCCAAGGAAAGCCCTTTGGTAAATAAAGTGAGTGACGGGGATGTGGAAGAATTGGTGGAGGACCACAGGGAAGAGCTAACCACTGACGAACTGCAAGAGCTTCAACTGGAACAGCATCAGACCACAGCCGAGGAACTTGCTTCAGAGGAGGAGGAAGAGGGAGTGGATGAGGTGCCTTCTTCAGTGATTAAGGACATGTGTGGAATGTGGAATGAGTTGCAAAGTTTTGTTGAAAAGTATCACCCTGACCAAGCTGAAACAAGCCGTATCTGCAACATGTACAATGACAGTGTTGTGTCCCACTTCAGGGAAATCTTGAAGAAACGCCAGAAAAAGACCTCTCTGGATAGATATTTTGTGTGCCAGGGGTCCATTGACTCTCAAGTTGTTCAAAGTGGCATTAAAAGAAGGAGGGAAGTAACCCCAGATAAGGACTTGCTACCTAAAGTCCTAATGGAAGGAGATTCTCCTTCCGAACAATAGTGTACACCTTCCTCCTATCACCTCCTCCCGTCTTCCATCCACCCAGAAGTCTTCAGTAAAGGCAAGTGTAATGTTATTATTATTTATTTTAAATGCATGTACTTGATTTCTGATTGTTTTCATTATGTAAATCTTTATTTAATTTGAAAAAAAAATATTTTATTTTAATATTTTTGGGTGTCTGGAACGGATTAATTTTATTTCCATTATTTCTTATGGGGAAAATGGTTTCGAGTTTCGTGAATTTTGACCTTCGGCGGGCTCTCTGGAACGGATTAATCATGAAACTCGGGGGTCCACTGTATATTAGTGTGCAAGAGTCAGGCCTAAAACAATGCATGTACATTACACACATTTTTTTTTTTTTCAACAAGTCGGCCGTCTCCCACCGAGGCAGGGTGACCCAAAAAAGAAAGAAAATCCCCAAAAAGAAAATACTTTCATCATCATTCAACACTTTCACCACACTCACACATTATCACTGTTTTTGCAGAGGTGCTCAGAATACAACCGTTTAGAAGCATATACGTATAAAGATACACAACACATGACTTCAAATATTTTCATACTTAGCTTGTATTGAATGGTAAATATATTGTAGCAAGTTTGAATAAATGAAGAACGGGTATAATTGAAAACCTGCTGCATTAGTGAAATGCCGTAAAGCTAAGCGCTGTAAAGCGAGGCCCTCTTGTATTTGTTTATCTGCTTATTAACCCTTTGAGGGTTTTCGTCGTACTAGTACGTCTTACGCGTAGGGGTTTTTGACGTACTAGTACTCATAAATTCTAGCGACCTCAAATCTAGTGGGAGAAAGCTGGTAGGCCTTCATATGAAAGAATGGGTCTATGTGGCCAGTGTGCACAGTCTAAAAAAAATCCTGCAGCACACGGTGCATAATGAGAAAAAAAAAACTTTTTCCATTTTTTTTTAATAAATCAGCGACTTTGCAGTGTATTTTCGTATAGTATTTATTGTTGTATTCTAGTTTTCTTGGTCTCATTTTATAGAATGGAAGACATATTACTGAAATTGAGATGATTTTGACTGGTTTTACAAAGAAAGGTGCCTTGAAATTGAGCTCAAAGTAGCAGAAATGTTCGATTTTTACCAAACTTCAAAAGTAAACAAATCGTGCCAAGCGTGCAATACACGTCAACTGGTGAGTCTAATATTCTTTCACAAGTGCACCAATAATATTTATACCATTTTTACACTAATGCAGTAGTCTGCATAACAGTAAATCTTATATTTTTTGTGAGAATAAAAATTCAAAGTGCAAAGCAAAAGAATATAAGAGGGGCCTTGAGACGTGACTAATGACTAGAGGAAATGTCATTTTAGTGCCAGGAATGTCTTTCTTGTTTATTCTGGACCCTATTCCGAAATTGGCATCTTTTGAAATTTGTGTGAAATTGGCAAAATTGCTAAATTCTGACCACTGTACTGGATAGTTGAATTTATAAATGGGTGGTTTCTTGCACCCATTCGATAGAAAAAATGGAGTTCTAGCGAAATATTCATGTTTTTTGTCGACTAGTACAGTGAAATTGGCCGAAAATGGGGCTCAAAGTGGGCAAAATCGCCGATCCGTAAACATCGCCGAGACCGCTAACTTTGCGAGAGCATAATTCCGTAAGTTTTCTATCAAATTTCAAACTTTTGGTGTCGTTATGATCGGGAAAAGATTCTCTATCTTTTCATAAGAGAAAATAATTTTTTTTTTTTTTAAATTTGGCCGACCCTGAGAACGAGTTTCGGAGAGGGCCTGTCGACCCTCAAAGGGTTAAGCAACAGTAGTTATTTATTTACTTATTTAGCATGTCATATTCACATTCGACTTATGATACTTTTAACTTATGATGGGTTCGTTGGAACGTAACCCCATTATAAGTCAAGGATCACCTATAGTTCCACAGTCTTCCCATTATGTCCTTCACTTTGTATTGATAAAGTCACTGGACGGTGAACCATCTACAAATAAAGATACCCAGATTTTGTACATGTCTAATTCTTTACCCTGTCAGTATTGTATATGCCCTCTCCTCACTTAGTGACGTACTCGTTTACCAACATGGACTTGGGAACACAACTCCGTCGTTAAGTGAAGAGAGGCTGTATTAGTCCTGTAAAAAAATTTTGATCATTTTAAGTTACAGATCTGGGAAATGTTGTGAATTTAAGAGTGACTTTTGATAAGCTGATCTTTTGGTCATGTAATATTTTTTATTTAGGAAAATATTTTAAATCTAAAAGTAATTTTTGACAGTATTATTTAATATCAGGTTTAAAACGTCCAGCTTTACCAGTGTAGAGTTTCCCTGTTTCCCTTATCAGCAAACACTCCATTAACAAAATAAATTATCCACCGTATTTACTTTTAATCATAATTTATGTGAATTACGTTCCTGAAAACTTACCTACTGATTTGTATAAATGATTTAAAAGCCCCACTAGTTGATAAATAAAACACTTAGACAACGTGTATAATAATAATAATAATAATAATAATACAGTAGTTGCCTTGTATCCTCGGGGGATACGTTCGAAGGACCTGCCGTGGATACCGAAACACTGGATAGTAGCAGACATTATATATTAGTCCTGTACATACCCATTATAAAGTTTAATTAATAAATTATGCACAATAAGTGGAGAATTATCACTTTTTTTACTGATGGGAACCACTTCAAGGTTTCTCTTAGGCTTTGAACAACTGTCAGCTTCTCTACTTTTGTGCTTTGGGATCATTACAGTGGACCCCCGGTTTACGATATTATTTCATTCCAGAAGTATGTTCGGGTGCCAGTACTGACCGAATTTGTTCCCATAAGGAATATTGTGAATTAGATTAGTCCATTTCAGACCCCCAAACATACACATACAAACGCACTTACATAAATACACTTACATAATTGATCTCATTGGGAGCTGATCGTAAACCGGGGGTCCACTGTATTGTGCTAAATTAAGAGATATTCTTGGGCCACAGTAAACCATGGATAACTGCAACTGTGGATACTAAATCAGTGGGGGTTCTACTGTAATTTTATTTCTTCATGATACAATGTTTGTACAGAGATTTGTGACATTTAACCCTTAAACTGTCCAAATGTATATCTATGTTGATATGCATAGTGCTCCGAACGTAGGTCTACGTCCGATTTTATGCGCTTTCAAATGGAGAAAATCAGGGTCGGAGCACTACACACGTCAACGTAGATCTACGTTTGGACAGTTTAAGGGTCAAGTGTACATGCAGACAGCCTATAGTTATGCAGAGCATTTTGGGCAAACTTGAGCCTAACTTAAGATTACAATGGCATATTGGATATCTTTAATCTGGAAATGTTGTGCCATCCAGCGGCTTCTTCAGCACAGTGTAACAGATAGTAATGTAGTGTATAGTAGTGTAAGACAGAGGTGTGGTGAGCATGTACAAGCAGCACACACACACACTGTTGCATCACAGTACAGTACAGGTGTGCTGGGCATGTACAAGCAGCACATGCAGTGTTGCATCACAACACAGTACAGGTGTGCTGGGTGTGTACAAGCAACATGCACAGTGTTGAATGACAACACAGTACAGGTGTGCTGGGTGTGTACAAGCAACATGCACAGTGTTGAATGACAGCACAGTACAGGTGTGCTGGGTGTGTATAAGCAGCATGCACAGTGTTGCATCACAGCACAGTACAGGTGTGCTGGGCTTGTACAAACAGCACATGCAGTGTTGCATCACAGCACAGTACAGGTGTGCTGGGCATGTACAAACAGCACATGCAGTGTTGCATCACAGCACAGTACAGGTGTGCTGGGCTTGTACAAGCAACATGCACAGTGTTGCATCACAGCACAGTACAGGTGTGCTGGGCTTGTACAAGCAGCATGCACACAGTGTTCCATCACATAACACTAAAGATGCTCCTTGACTTACGATGGGTTACATTCTGATGAACCCATCATAAGTCAAAAATATCGTAAGTCAAATATGATTACGACATAACAGATAAATAAGCAACTACTGTCACTGAATAATTAAATAAACAGTTACTGTAAATACTGCTATTGGAAAGTAAATAAATGAATACAAGTTAAGAACTTGGTTTCCCCTCACGTTGGCATGCGTGAGCGTGTTTGATAGGAGTGAATGGAGACAAATGGTTTTTAATACTTGACGTGCTGTTGGAGTGTGAGCAAAGTAACATTTATGAAGGGGTTCAGGGAAACCGGCAGGCCGGACTTGAGTCCTGGAGATGGGAAGTACAGTGCCTGCACTCTGAAGGAGGGGTGTTAATGTTGCAGTTTAAAAACTGTAGTGTAAAGCACCCTTCTGGCAAGACAGTGATGGAGTGAATGATGGTGAAAGTTTTTCTTTTTCGGGCCACCCTGCCTTGGTGGGAATCGGCCAGTGTGATAATAAATAAAAAAAAAAATCTCCAAATTAATTGCTTTTGCACAATTATAAAGTCAAAATACCATAAGTCGAACCATCATAATTGACTTGTGAGGTCTGTGTTCTAGAAAGACAGGTTGGAAGTGAGTGATGGTACATACTATTTTTAAGCTCACTCTACCTAATTGAGAAACTACCTATGTGGCAATTTTTATTTATCATTGCCTTATTTTTTTATTATAATTCAACACTAAAATAATTTACTTCTTCTGTCATTTGCAGGTGCTGGTCACTTGGGGGTAGTGAAGATGCTGGTGCGAGCCGGTGCAAACGTCAATCATCCTACCAAAACAAATTCCACTCCACTGCGAGCCGCTTGCTTCGATGGTCGTCTGGACATTGTCAAATACTTAACCGACCATAGTGCCAATATTCATATAACTAATAAATACAATAACACTTGCCTTATGATCGCTGCATATAAGGGACACGTAGATGTGGTACAGTTTCTCTTAGAACTTGGTGCGAACCCCGATGAAAAGGCTCACTGTGGCGCTACAGCACTACATTTTGCCGCCGAATGTGGCCACGTAAAGATAGTGCAAGAACTATTGGTTCATGGAGCAAAAATAACCAAAAACGAGCACGGGATGACACCCCTCATAGCGGCTGCGGAAAGAACGCGGAGTGATGTGGTGGAGTATTTAATATCACGACCGGATGTTACCAGGGAGGAAAAAGTGGATTCATTGGAGTTGCTTGGGGCGTCCTTTGCAAGTGACAAGGACAATTATAATATTGAACTTGCTTACAAGTATATGCTAAAGGGCATGAAGGAGAGATACAGTGATCCCAATGATATTATTTGTGAGTATTGCGCCTTCCTCCTCTTTGTAAGTTTGTTTAGGTAGATGTAAGTACAGTTATAATACATAGTGTAAATTATCTACCAAGATAACCCAAGAAAGTCAGACAGTAACTTATTTCCATTGTGATCTCCGTCTTATTCCTCCTCCTGTTCAGTCACCTAACAGCACACAATCAGGCACCTGACAGCACACAATCAGGCACCTGACAGCACACAATCAGGCACCTGACAGCACACAGTCACCTGACAGCACACAATCAGGCACCTGACAGCACACAGTCACCTGACAGTATGCAAACAGGCACCTAACCAGAGTAGGTGGCAGAGGCAGCAGCAGCAGTAATTGTTGTGTTACAACCTCACTTATCACTGACCTAAACACACTTGACACACACAGTAAGGAAAGATATTACCAATATGGATGCCATTGATGTTTTTCCCGTGCATATTGTTGGTGTCTGAGAGGGAAACAAGTTATAAAATTTGCAAAAGTACGTTGTATGTTTCTGGAGGAGTAAGAACTAAGATGGGATATTTTATCTTTTTTTTTTTTTTTTTTTTTTTTCAACAAGTCGGCCGTCTCCCACCGAGGCAGGGTGACCCAAAAAAGAAAGAAAATCCCCAAAAAGAAAATACTTTCATCATCATTCAACACTTTCACCACACTCGCACATTATCACTGTTTTTGCAGAGGTGCTCAGAATACAACAGTCTAGAAGCATACACATATAAAGATACACAACATATCCCTCCAAACTGCCAATATCCCAAACCCCTCCTTTAAAGTGCGGGCATTGTACTTCCCATTTCCAGGACTCAAGTCCGACTATATGAAAATAACCGGTTTCCCTGAATCCCTTCACTAAATATTACCCTGCTCACACTCCAACAGATCGTCAGGTCCCAAGTACCATTCGTCTCCATTCACTCCTATCTAACACGCTCACGCACGCTTGCTGGAAGTCCAAGCCCCTTACCCACAAAACCTCCTTTACCCCCTTTCTCCAACCCTTTCGAGGACGACCCCTACCCCGCCTTCCTTCCCCTATAGATTTATATGCTTTCCATGTCATTCTACTTTGATCCATTCTCTCTAATGACCAAACCACCTCAACAACCCCTCCTCTGCCCTCTGACTAATACTTTTATTAACTCCACACCTTCTCCTAATTTCCACACTCCGAATTTTCTGCATAATATTTACACCACACATTGCCCTTAAACAGGACATCTCCACTGCCTCCAACCGTCTCCTCGCTGCTGCATTTACCACCCAAGCTTCACACCCATATAAGAGTGTTGGTACTACTATACTTTCATACATACCCTTCTTTGCCTCCATAGATAACGTTTTTTGACTCCACATATACCTCAACGCACCACTCACCTTTTTTCCCTCATCAATTCTATGATTAACCTCATCCTTCATAAATCCATCCGCTGACAACGTCAACTCCCAAGTATCTGAAAACATTCACTTCTTCCAATCCTCCTTCCCAATTTGATATCCAATTTTCTTTATCCAAATCATTTGACACCCTCATCACCTTACTCTTTTCTATGTTCACTTTCAACTTTCTACCTTTACACACATTCCCAAACTCATCCACTAACCTTTGCAATTTTTCTTTAGAATCTCCCATAAGCACAGTATCATCACAAAAAGTAACTGTGTCAATTCCATTTTGAATTTGATTCCCCATAATTTATCCCACCCCTCTCCAAACACCCTAGCATTTACTTCCTTTACAACACCATCTATAAATATATTAAACAACCATGGTGACATTACACATCCCTGTCTAAGACCTACTTTTACCGGGAAGTAGTCTCCCTCTCTTCTACACGCCCTAACCTGAGCCTCACTATCCTCATAAAAACTCTTTACAGCATTTAAAACTTACCACCTATTCCATAATACTTCAACATCTCCCATGCTCCTCTATCCACCTATCATAGCCCTTTTACTAAAATCCATAAATGCCAATAAAAACATTCCCTATCTTTATCTAAATACTGTTCACATATATGCTTCAATGTAAACACCTGATCTACACATCCCCTACCCACTCTAAAACCTCCTTGCTCATCCGCAATCCTACATTCTGTCTTACCTCTAATTCTTTCAGTTATAACCCTACCGTACACTTTCCTGGTATACTCAGTAAGCTTATTCCTCTATAATTTTTACAGTCTCTTTTGTCCCCTTTCCCTTTATATAAAGGGACTATACATGCTCTCTGCCAATCCCTAGGTACCTTCCCCTCTTTCATACATTTATTAAACAAAAGTACCAACCACTCCAACACTATATCCCACCCCTGCTTTTAACATTTCTGTCATGATCCCATCAGTTCCAGCTGCTTTACCCCCTTTCATTTTATGTAATGCCTCACGTACCTCCCCCACACTTACAATTCTGCTCTTCTTCACTCCTAAAAGATGGTATACCTCCCTGACCAGTGCATGAAATTACTGCCTCTGTTTCTTCCTTAACATTTTAAAAGTTCCTCAAAAATATTCTCGCCATCTACCCAATTACCTCCATCTCCCCATCTACTAACTCCCCTACTCTGTTTTTTAACTGACAAATCCATATTTTCCCTAGGCTTTCTTAACTTGTTTAACTCACTCCAAAATTTTTTCTTATTTCATTAAAATTTCTTGACAGTGCCTCTCCCACTCTATCTCTGCTCTCCTTTTGCACTCTCTCCACCACTCTCTTTACCTTTCTTTACTCTCCATATACTCTGCTCTTCTTATAACACTTCTGCTTTGTAAAAACCTCTCATAAGCTACCTTTTTCTCTTTATCACACCCTTTACTTCATCATTCCACCAATCACTCCTCTTTCCTCCTGCCCCCACCCTCCTATAACCACAAACTTCTGCCCCACATTCTAATATTGCATTTTTAAAACTATTCCAACCCTCTTCAAACCCCCCCACTACTCATCTTTGCACTAGCCCACCTTCTGCCAATAGTCGCTTATATCTCACCCGAACTTCCTCCTCCCTTAGTTATACACTTTCACCTCCCTCTTACTTGTTGTTGCCACCTTCCTCTTTTCCCATCTACCTCTTACTCTAACTGTAGCTACAACTAAATAATGATCCGATATATCAGTTGCCCCTCTATAAACATGTACATCCTGGAGCCTACCATCAACCTTTTATCCACCAATACATAATCTAATAAACTACTTTCATTACGTGCTACATCATACCTTGTATATTTATTTATCCTCTTTTTCATAAAATATGTATTACTTATTACCAAATTTCTTTAACACATAGCTCAATTAAAGGCTCCCCATTTACATTTACCCCTGGCACCCCAAATTTACCTACTACTCCTTCCATAACATTTTTACCCACTTTAGCATTGAAATCCCCAACCACCATTACTCTCACACTTGATTCAAAACTCCCCACGCATTCACTCAACATTTCCAAAATCTCTCTCTCTCCTCTACACTTCCTCTCTTCTCCGGGTGCATACACGCTTTTTATAACCCACTTTTCACATCCAATCTTTATTTTACTCCACATAATCCTTGAATTAATACATTTATAGTCCCTCTTTTCCTGCCATAGCTTATCCTTCAACATTATTGCTACTCCTTCTTTAGCTCTAACTCTATTTGAAACCCCTGACCTAATCCCATTTATTCCTCTCCATTGAAACTCTCCCACCCCCTTCACTTTGTTTCACTTAAAGCCAGGACATCCAGCTTCTTCTCATTCATAACATCCACAATCATCTCTTCTTATCATTTGCACAACATCCACGCACATTCAGACTTCCCACTTTGACAATTTTCTTCTTCTTATTCTTTTTAGTAATCTTTACAGGAAAAGGGGTTACTAGCCCATTGTTCCCGGCATTTTAGTTGACTTTTACAACACGCATGGCTTACGGAGGAAAGATTCTTATTCCACTTCCCCATGGATATAAAAGGAAAATTAATAAGACCAAGAACTATTAAGATAAAATCAAAGAAAACTCAGATGAGTGTGTATAAATAAATGTGTACCTGTATGTGTAGTGTGACCTAAGTGTAAGTAGAAGTAGCAAGACGTGCCTGTAATCTTGCATATTTATCTTTTTGTCCATAGTATTTGTATTTTGTTAAATAGAACTATTATATTTATCATTGTAATGTTATATAGAATTTTTTATTATATTTTGACATTTTTTGTTTCAACGCTGGCCATCTCCCACTGAGGCACGGGGATTTTTGGCATGTATTGTATTTTGTGGTGTAGAAGACACACCGGCATATAGGACTTGCCCTAAATTTTGCATGAAATGTGTTTGAAAAATATATATTCATTATAAAGTTGCTTGGAACCTTAAACTGTGGTGATTCAAGACTGGCCCGAAGCCTGACCGTCGCCATGTAAGACGCACAGTGATTTTGAGGGTCAGATTTTGAAAAAAAAAAAAAGTGTCTTATATGCTGCAAAATAGAGTATATTATTATTAATATTCAGTACATTTTTATCTTTTGTATTGTAGATCATGTTGAATAATTGCAGACACATTTTATGCATTTTATACTGTAAATTTTTGACTTACAAACACATTGAGAAGCTTCTGTATTGTGTATAATATTAATAATACACAAGGTCTCCAACATGTTCGTAAGTTGAAGATTCCTGTATTATAATAATAATAATAATAAACTTTCGTTTTTCCTTTTTGGCCACCCCACCTCGGTGGGATACGGCTGGTGTGTTGAAAGAAAAGAAAGAAGAAGAATAATATCTTTATTTACTACAAGTACATGTGCAAGGTATACAGGCCTAGCTGACAACAATGACATACTACTATATAGAAAGCCGTTTGTTATGCTCCGCATGTCGGGCAAATTAGGTCAGTGTCCCAGGATGCGACCCACACCAGTCGACTAACACCCAGGTACCCATTTTACTGATGGGGAACATAGACAACAAGTGGAAAGAAACACTCCCAATGTTTCTACTCTGGCTGGGAATCGAACCCAGACCCTCGCCGTGTGAAGCGAGAGCGTTAGCCACCAGGCCACCAGAGCCCCTTATGAATGTTATACACAAATCAAGAGGTCTCCAGTGTGTTCATAAGTGGAGAACTTACTGTACTTAAGGATTATATCTAACTAGTGAAAGTTCTCCACAACTAACAACTTATTTAAAGGTGTTAGTTTAAGATTACAAGGATGTAAAGTGGCAGACAAATGGTACACATTGTTGATATTCAAGATGATGCTTTGAATTATGGAATAGTGGCAAGCAGTGTTGTGAAAGTACCAGAAAATAGCATTAGAAAAGTAGATAAAACTAGCAAATATTGTTGGTTTAATCAGTACATTTCCCTTCTATATGTCAAATATATTTGCTAAACAGCTACTAAATTTTTTAAACACATCAGACATCTCCCACCAAGACAGGTGACCCGATAAAGAAGAAACGAAAGTTATTTTTCTTATTACATTCAGTAAATTATACAGGAGGTGTTACTAGCACCGTGTTGCCAACATTTAGTAATACAGAAAGTGTCACTAACACTTTGCTGCCAAAATTTAGTAATTTATGCAGGTGTCACTAGCACCTTGCTGCTGCCAGGTTTACTGATAAATTATAACATGTACATTTTCCCGCAGGTAAGCCTAAGGTTGAGCCAGTACCGGCCTATGAGAATCGTGTAGAGTGTGAGACAGTTGGTGAACTGGAAAGTATTCGACTTATCTCTGGCAGCCTTCACATGGAAAGTCTGGCCATTAGAGAACGTATTCTTGGTCCCCATAATCCTGAGGTGACTATATATATGGTGCTCCTTGACTTACGATGGTTCGACTTTTGATATTTTGACTTTATAATGGTGCAATTGTGATGCACATTCACTATCTACATTTATTGATAGAATAAACTTGTATTCATTTATTTATTTTTCAATGCTGATATTTAGTAATTATTTACAGTGGACCCCCGGTTAACGAACTTTTTTCATTCCAGAAGTATGTTCAGGTGCCAGTACTGACCGAATTTTTTCCCATAAGGAATATTGTGAAGTAGATTAGTCCATTTCAGACCCCCAAACATACACGTACAAACGCACTTACATAAATACACTTACATAATTGGTCGCATTTGGAGGTGATCGTTAAGCGGGGGTCCACTGTATTTATTTACTTATTCAGTGACAGTTGTTATTTGTTTACATATGTATATACAGCATCTCCTCACTTAGCGACGTACTCTTTAACCGATGCCTTGGACTTTCGACGGGCTCTCTGATCAGTAGTGTACAATATAAACTATACCAGGAATGTTATAAATGGTACAAAGGTGACGTTAAAACAATATTAAAGATGATCGACATAAACTCGTTACCATTATAGCATGATCCTCGCTTAGCCACAAATTTGTTTAACAATGTGGTCTCAGGAACCCAATTCTGTTGTTAAGTGAGGAGAGGTTGTATTATATATTCTTAATCGACTTAAGGTATATTCAACTTATGATATTTTTAACATATTTTCAACTTATGCGTGGTTCCACTGTATATCATAAGTTGAAAATATGTTAAAAATATCATAAGTTGAAAATATAAGTTGAATATACCTTAAGTCGATTATGAATATATAATACAACCTCTCCTCACTTAACAACAGAATTGGGTTCCTGAGACCACATTGTTAAACAAATTTGTGGCTAAGCGAGGATCATGCTATAATGGTAACGAGTTTATGTCGATCATCTTTAATATTGTTTTAACGTCACCTTTGTACCATTTATAACATTTCTGGTATAGTTTATATTGTACACTACTGATCAGAGAGCCCGTCGAAAGTCCAAGGCATCGGTTAAAGAGTACGTCGCTAAGTGAGGAGATGCTGTATATACATATGTAAACAAATAACAACTGTCACTGAATAAGTAAATAAATACAGTGGACCCCCGCTTAACGATCACCTCCAAATGCGACCAATTATGTAAGTGTATTTATGTAAGTGCGTTTGTACGTGTATGTTTGGGGGTCTGAAATGGACTAATCTACTTCACAATATTTCTTATGGGAACAAATTCGGTCAGTACTGGCACCTGAACATACTTCTGGAGTGAAAAAATATCGTTAACCGGGGGTCCACTGTATTCAACTTACGATGGTTCATGGGAATGTAACCCCCATTGTAAGTCAAGGAGCACCTGTCATCTACATTTTCTCTCTGGAGATATTATTGCAGGGGGGGTATCTTGATGCCAGTGAAGGGCTCTTGATTCAAGGAATTGGAGCTACCCTTCTCTTGGATCAGACCTCAATACCTTCCATTTTTGCAGGTGCTGTATGGCACCTACAGGTTTAGCTCTTCCTCGTGAATATATAATGCAACGTTATTGTAAAGTACAGTACTCTTGTACATCTTATTGAACAAATTAAAAGTTTTAGCCTTTATAGTAATCTTTATAGAGTTAGAATAAGTTACTTCTTGTCTGACTGCCATCTTTGTAGGTGGGAAGTACAGTTCCAGTACTCTGAAGGATGAGTAGAGGTGGGAAGTGCAGTTCCAGTACTCTGAAGGATGAGTAGAGGTGGGAAGTGCAGTTCCAGTACTCTGAAGGATGAGTAGAGGTGGGAAGTGCAGTTCCAGTACTCTGAAGGATGAGTAGAGGTGGGAAGTGCAGTTCCAGTACTCTGAAGGTTGAGTAGAGGTGGGAAGTGCAGTTCCAGTACTCTGAAGGATGAGTAGAGGTGGGAAGTGCAGTTCCAGTACTCTGAAGGATGAGTAGAGGTGGGAAGTGCAGTTCCAGTACTCTGAAGGATGAGTAGAGGTGGGAAGTGCAGTTCCAGTACTCTGAAGGATGAGTAGAGGTGGGAAGTGCAGTTCCAGTACTCTGAAGGTTGAGTAGAGGTAGGAAGTACAGTTCTGGTACTCTGAAGGATGTACAGAGGTGGGGAATACAGTGCCTGTACTCTGAAGGATGTGTGGAGGTGGGAGGTACAGTTCCGGTACTCTGAAGGATGGTTAGGGAAGTTGTGATTAAATATATCTTTTAAATTAGTAGTTACTGACTGAGTAATAAGTTGTTTTCTGGTCCCTCTTCCACTACCTTGATGTAAAAACAACCAGGAATGAAAATCACTGCTGCTGTCAATTATGAATATATAACTAGTAATTTCAGGCATAAAAATGGTATGGTGATACCAGACCATTTTTCATGCATGACATTTATATACAGTTAAGGACATGTATTACAGGAAACATTTCATTACTGCAGTAAGTCCTCAACTAAGGAACACTTTGGGGACCTTCTGAATTGTGTATAATAATGATATTATATACAAAATAATATAGTAACATTATACACAATACAGAAGATTCTTAACGTGTTAGTATACTAGTAGAGGACTTAATGTAGTTCCGTCTTCAGTCCTAGGAAGCTATGAGTGTCTTCTTATGACTGAAGAATTCACTAGTGCTGAAACATTTCTTGTAATGAATGTCTTGAACTGTAGATAAGTGTCTTTTGCACCATTTCATGCATGTTTGTGTTGATGAAATAGTTTTGTTTGCTGTATTTCAGGTACCTCATCCTGTAATCTTCCGTGGAGCCGTGTTTGCCGACAATGCTCGTTTTGACCGATGCTTGCAGCTCTGGATGCACGCTTTAAGATTAAAACAGCTTAATAAAGTTTGTGTTATGAAAGATCTTCTGAGATTTGCACAGGTGAGTGAGCACCAAGTGTATTCTTAAAGGATATATATCAGGGGTGTATATTATGTGTGTGCTAAGTGACTACCAATTATATTCTTAAGGGGTATATATTGCGGGTGTATGTTCTACACACTCGCCAAAGATGATCAATTCATCATAAATATTAAACTCACTCAATAATATAATCATGGATTATATTGAGAAACTAGTTTTTCAGTCCCCTGTTATGAAATATTGTGGCAGTAGTTGTGAGTTAGCACTGCACACCCCACAACTAGTTGTACCATGCACAGTGCACACCCCACAACTAGTTGTACCATGCACAGTGCACACCCCACAACTAGTTGTACCATGCACAGTGCACACCCCACAACTAGTTGTACCATGCACAGTGCACACCCCACAACTAGTTGTACCATGCACAGTGCACACCCCACAACTAGTTGTACCATGCACAGTGCACACCCCACAACTAGTTGTACCATGCACAGTGCACACCCCACAACTAGTTGTACCATGCACAGTGCACACCCCACAACTAGTTGTACCATGCACAGTGCACACCCCACAACTAGTTGTACCATGCACAGTGCACACCCCACAACTAGTTGTACCATGCACAGTGCACACCCCACAACTAGTTGTACCATGCACAGTGCACACCCCACAACTAGTTGTACCATGCACAGTGCACACCCCACAACTAGTTGTACCATGCACAGTGCACACCCCACAACTAGTTGTACCATGCACAGTGCACACCCCACAACTAGTTGTACCATGCACAGTGCACACCCCACAACTAGTTGTACCATGCACAGTGCACACCCCACAACTAGTTGCACCATGCACAGTGCACACCCCACAACTAGTTGCACCATGCACAGTGCACACCCCACAACTAGTTGCACCATGCACAGTGCACACCCCACAACTAGTTGTACCATGCACAGTGCACACCCCACAACTAGTTGTACCATGCACAGTGCACACCCCACAACTAGTTGTACCATGCACAGTGCACACCCCACAACTAGTTGTACCATGCACAGTGCACACCCCACAACTAGTTGTACCATGCACAGTGCACACCCCACAACTAGTTGTACCATGCACAGTGCACACCCCACAACTAGTTGTACCATGCACAGTGCACACCCCACAACTAGTTGTACCATGCACAGTGCACACCCCACAACTAGTTGTACCATGCACAGTGCACACCCCACAACTAGTTGTACCATGCACAGTGCACACCCCACAACTAGTTGTACCATGCACAGTGCACACCCCACAACTAGTTGTACCATGCACAGTGCACACCCCACAACTAGTTGTACCATGCACAGTGCACACCCCACAACTAGTTGTACCATGCACAGTGCACACCCCACAACTAGTTGTACCATGCACAGTGCACACCCCACAACTAGTTGTACCATGCACAGTGCACACCCCACAACTAGTTGTACCATGCACAGTGCACACCCCACAACTAGTTGTACCATGCACAGTGCACACCCCACAACTAGTTGTACCATGCACAGTGCACACCCCACAACTAGTTGTACCATGCACAGTGCACACCCCACAACTAGTTGTACCATGCACAGTGCACACCCCACAACTAGTTGTACCATGCACAGTGCACACCCCACAACTAGTTGTACCATGCACAGTGCACACCCCACAACTAGTTGTACCATGCACAGTGCACACCCTCTGATAATAGCCCAACATACGCCACTGCTATATGCTGTGAATTTATTGGTACAGTACTGTATACAGTGGACCCCCGCATAACGATCACCTCCGGATGCGACCAATTATGTAAGTGTATTTATGTAAGTGCGTTTGTACGTGTATGTTTGGGGGTCTGAAATGGACTAATCTACTTCACAATATTCCTTATGGGAACAAATTCGGTCAGTACTGGCACCTGAACATACTTCTGGAGTGAAAAAATATCGTTAACCGGGGGTCCACTGTATATCCTTGGACACAACTCTATGGTGATTCTTCTGTTTTTTATGTGCGATGATAAACTTACAATCCCTTTTTTTTTTTCTTAATGTATCGTACATCTCGCACCAAGTTAGGATGGCCTTAAAAGGAAAAGAATTTTTTTTTTTTTCCAACAAGTCGGCCGTCTCCCACCGAGGCAGGGTGACCCAAAAAAGAAAGAAAATCCCCAAAAAGAAAATACTTTCATCATTATTCAACACTTTCACCACACTCGCACATTATCACTGTTTTTGCAGACGTGCTCAGAACACAACAGTTTAGAAGCATATACGTATAAAGATTCACAACATATCCCTCCAAACTGCCAATATCCCGAACCCCTCCTTTAGAATGCAGGTATTGTACTTCCCATTTCCAGGACTCAAGTCCGGTTATATAAAAATAACCGGTTTCCCTGAATCCCTTAACTAAATATTACCTTGCTCACACTCCAACAGATCATCAGGTCCCAAATACCATTCGTCTCCATTCACTCCTATCGAACACGCTCATGCATGCCTGCTGGAAGTCCAAGCCCCTCGCCCACAAAACCTCCCTTACCCCTTCCTTCCAACCTTTTTGAGGACGACCCCTACCCCGCCTTCCTTCTCCTACAGATTTAAATGCTCTCCATGTCATTCTACTTTGATCCATTCTCTCTAAATGGCCAAACGACCTCAACAACCCCTCTTCAGCCCTCTGACTAATACTTTTATTAACGCCACACCTTCTCCTAATTTCCACACTCCGAATTTTCTGCATAATATTTACACCACACATTGCCCTTAGACAGGACATCTCCACTGCCTCCAACCATCTCCTCGCTGCTGCATTTACCACCCAAGCTTCACACCCATATAAGAGTGTTGGTACTACTATACTTTCATACATTCCCTTCTTTGCCGCCATAGATAACGTTTTTTGACTCCACACATACCTCAACGCACCACTCACCTTTTTTCCCTCATCAATTCTATGATTAACCTCATCCTTCATAAATCCATCCGCCGACACTCAACTCCCAAGTATCTGAAAACATTCACTTCTTCCATACTCCTCCTCCCCAATTTGATATCCAATTTTTCTTTAAATCAATTTGATACCCTCATCACCTTACTCTTTCTATGTTCACTATTCAACTTTTTACCTTTACACACACTCCCAAACTCGTCCACTAACCTTTGCATTTTTCATTTAGAATCTCTCATAACACGTATCATCACAAAAAGTAACTGTGTCACTTCCCATTTTGTATTTGATTCCCCATAATTTAATCCCACCCCTCTCCCGAACACCCTAGCATTTACTTCTTTTACAACCCCATCTATAAATATATTAAACAACCATGGTGACATTACACATCCCTGTCTAAGACTTACTTTTACCGGGAAGTATTCTCCCTCTCTCCTACACACCCTAACCTGAGCCTCACTATCCTCATAAAAACTCTACAGCATTTTGTAATTTACCACCTATTCCATATACTTGCAGCATCTGCCACATTACTCCCCTGGTTGACTGTTATCACTAATCTTCTTAGGCCCCATGGTGACTTATTTATACAAATAATATAAAAGAAGCACCAAAAAATATGAAGAAACACGAAATAGTTTACAGCGAAGCTCTGGCAGGTTGTGTTTGTTAGGTCGAGTGCCGAGCAAACGGTCAACTACAGAGCGATTTGTTTACCCAACAAAGTGTTGGAATACCAAATTGTTTGGGTACGGAGCTGTTCGAGTACCGAGGTTCCACTTTATTTATATTTATCTCGATAATCAAAAGTACCACCAGTGAAAACCTCCAGAGTTGCCAGGATTGTTTCTGAAGCCTCCATCATAGTCACTGTTTCTGAAGCCTCCATCATAGTCACTGTTCTGAACCTCCTCATAGTCACTGTTTCTGAAGCCTCCATCATAGTCACTGTTTCTGAAGCCTCCATCATAGTCACTGTTTCTGAAGCCTCCATCATAGTCACTGTTTCTGAAGCCTCCATCATAGTCACTGTTTCTGAAGCCTCCATCATAGTCACTGTTTCTGAAGCCTCCATCATAGTCACTGTTTCTGAAGCCTCCATCATAGTCACTGTTTCTGAAGCCTCCATCATTGTCACTGTTTCTGAAGCCTCCATCATTGTCACTGTTTCTGAAGCCTCCATCATTGTCACTGTTTCTGAAGCCTCCATCATAGTCACTGTTTCTGAAGCCTCCATCATAGTCACTGTTTCTGAAGCCTCCATCATTGTCACTGTTTCTGAAGCCTCCATCATTGTCACTGTTTCTGAAGCCTCCATCATTGTCACTGTTTCTGAAGCCTCCATCATTGTCACTGTTTCTGAAGCTTCCATCATAGTCACTGTTTCTGAAGCTTCCATCATAGTCACTGTTTCTGAAGCCTCCATCATAGTCACTTTCTGAAGCCTCCATCATAGTCACTGTTTCTGAAGCCTCCATCATAGTCACTGTTTCTGAAGCCTCCATCATAGTCACTGTTTCTGAAGCCTCCATCATAGTCACTGTTTCTGAAGCCTCCATCATAGTCACTGTTTCTGAAGCCTCCATCATAGTCACTGTTCTGAAGCCCCATCATAGTCACTTTCTGAAGCCTCCATCATAGTCACTGTTTCTGAAGCCTCCATCATAGTCACTGTTTCTGAAGCCTCCATCATAGTCACTTTCTGAAGCCTCCATCATAGTCACTTTCTGAAGCCTCCATCATAGTCACTTTCTGAAGCCTCCATCATAGTCACTTTCTGAAGCCTCCATCATAGTCACTTTCTGAAGCCTCCATCATAGTCACTTTCTGAAGCCTCCATCATAGTCACTGTTTCTGAAGCCTCCATCATAGTCACTTTCTGAAGCCTCCATCATAGTCACTTTCTGAAGCCTCCATCATAGTCACTGTTTCTGAAGCCTCCATCATAGTCACTGTTTCTGAAGCCTCCATCATAGTCACTGTTTCTGAAGCCTCCATCATAGTCACTGTTTCTGAAGCCTCCATCATAGTCACTGTTTCTGAAGCCTCCATCATAGTCACTTTCTGAAGCCTCCATCATAGTCACTGTTTCTGAAGCCTCCATCATAGTCACTGTTTCTGAAGCCTCCATCATAGTCACTGTTCTGAAGCCTCCATCATAGTCACTGTTTCTGAAGCCTCCATCATAGTCACTGTTTCTGAAGCCTCCATCATAGTCACTGTTTCTGAAGCCTCCATCATAGTCACTTTTCTGAAGCCTCCATCATAGTCACTTTTCTGAAGCCTCCATCATAGTCACTTTCTGAAGCCTCCATCATAGTCACTTTCTGAAGCCTCCATCATAGTCACTTTCTGAAGCCTCCATCATAGTCACTTTCTGAAGCCTCCATCATAGTCACTTTCTGAAGCCTCCATCATAGTCACTTTCTGAAGCCTCCATCATAGTCACTTTCTGAAGCCTCCATCATAGTCACTTTCTGAAGCCTCCATCATAGTCACTTTCTGAAGCCTCCATCATAGTCACTTTCTGAAGCCTCCCATCATAGTCACTTTCTGAAGCCTCCATCATAGTCACTTTCTGAAGCCTCCATCATAGTCACTTTCTGAAGCCTCCATCATAGTCACTTTTTCTGAAGCCTCCATCATAGTCACTTTCTGAAGCCTCCATCATAGTCACTTTCTGAAGCCTCCATCATAGTCACTTTCTGAAGCCTCCATCATAGTCACTGTTTCTGAAGCCTCCATCATAGTCACTTTCTGAAGCCTCCATCATAGTCACTTTCTGAAGCCTCCATCATAGTCACTTTCTGAAGCCTCCATCATAGTCACTTTCTGAAGCCTCCATCATAGTCACTTTCTGAAGCCTCCATCATAGTCACTTTCTGAAGCCTCCATCATAGTCACTTTCTGAAGCCTCCATCATAGTCACTTTCTGAAGCCTCCATCATAGTCACTTTCTGAAGCCTCCATCATAGTCACTTTCTGAAGCCTCCATCATAGTCACTTTCTGAAGCCTCCATCATAGTCACTTTCTGAAGCCTCCATCATAGTCACTTTCTGAAGCCTCCATCATAGTCACTTTCTGAAGCCTCCATCATAGCCCACTTTCTGAAGCCTCCATCATAGTCACTGTTCTGAAGCCTCCATCATAGTCACTTTCTGAAGCCTCCATCATAGTCACTTTCTGAAGCCTCCATCATAGTCACTTTCTGAAGCCTCCATCATAGTCACTTTCTGAAGCCTCCATCATAGTCACTTTCTGAAGCCTCCATCATAGTCACTTTCTGAAGCCTCCATCATAGTCACTTTCTGAAGCCTCCATCATAGTCACTTTCTGAAGCCTCCATCATAGTCACTTTCTGAAGCCTCCATCATAGTCACTTTCTGAAGCCTCCATCATAGTCACTTTCTGAAGCCTCCATCATAGTCACTGTTTCTGAAGCCTCCATCATAGTCACTGTTTCTGAAGCCTCCATCATAGTCACTTTCTGAAGCCTCCATCATAGTCACTTTCTGAAGCCTCCATCATAGTCACTTTCTGAAGCCTCCATCATAGTCACTTTCTGAAGCCTCCATCATAGTCACTTCTGAAGCCTCCATCATAGTCACTTTCTGAAGCCTCCATCATAGTCACTTTCTGAAGCCTCCATCATAGTCACTTTCTGAAGCCTCCATCATAGTCACTTTCTGAAGCCTCCATCATAGTCACTTTCTGAAGCCTCCATCATAGTCACTTTCTGAAGCCTCCATCATAGTCACTTTCTGAAGCCTCCATCATAGTCACTTTCTGAAGCCTCCATCATAGTCACTTTCTGAAGCCTCCATCATAGTCACTTTCTGAAGCCTCCATCATAGTCACTTTCTGAAGCCTCCATCATAGTCACTTTCTGAAGCCTCCATCATAGTCACTTTCTGGACAAGCCCTGCCCATCATAGTCACTTTCTGAAGCCTCCATCATAGTCACTTTCTGAAGCCTCCATCATAGTCACTTTCTGAAGCCTCCATCATAGTCACTTTCTGAAGCCTCCATCATAGTCACTTTCTGAAGCCTCCATCATAGTCACTTTCTGAAGCCTCCATCATAGTCACTTTCTGAAGCCTCCATCATAGTCACTTTCTGAAGCCTCCATCATAGTCACTTTCTGAAGCCTCCATCATAGTCACTTTCTGAAGCCTCCATCATAGTCACTTTCTGAAGCCTCCATCATAGTCACTTTCTGAAGCCTCCATCATAGTCACTTTCTGAAGCCTCCATCATAGTCACTTTCTGAAGCCTCCATCATAGTCACTTTCTGAAGCCTCCATCATAGTCACTTTCTGAAGCCTCCATCATAGTCACTTTCTGAAGCCTCCATCATAGTCACTTTCTGAAGCCTCCATCATAGTCACTTTCTGAAGCCTCCATCATAGTCACTTTCTGAAGCCTCCATCATAGTCACTTTCTGAAGCCTCCATCATAGTCACTTTCTGAAGCCTCCATCATAGTCACTTTCTGAAGCCTCCATCATAGTCACTTTCTGAAGCCTCCATCATAGTCACTTTCTGAAGCCTCCATCATAGTCACTTTCTGAAGCCTCCATCATAGTCACTTTCTGAAGCCTCCATCATAGTCACTGTTTCTGAAGCCTCCATCATAGTCACTTTCTGAAGCCTCCATCATAGTCACTTTCTGAAGCCTCCATCATAGTCACTTTCTGAAGCCTCCATCATAGTCACTTTTCTGAAGCCTCCATCATAGTCACTTTCTGAAGCCTCCATCATAGTCACTTTCTGAAGCCTCCATCATAGTCACTTTCTGAAGCCTCCATCATAGTCACTTTCTGAAGCCTCCATCATAGTCACTGTTTCTGAAGCCTCCATCATAGTCACTTTCTGAAGCCTCCATCATAGTCACTTTCTGAAGCCTCCATCATAGTCACTTTCTGAAGCCTCCATCATAGTCACTTTCTGAAGCCTCCATCATAGTCACTTTCTGAAGCCTCCATCATAGTCACTTTCTGAAGCCTCCATCATAGTCACTTTCTGAAGCCTCCATCATAGTCACTTTCTGAAGCCTCCATCATAGTCACTTTCTGAAGCCTCCATCATAGTCACTTTCTGAAGCCTCCATCATAGTCACTTTCTGAAGCCTCCATCATAGTCACTTTCTGAAGCCTCCATCATAGTCACTGTTTCTGAAGCCTCCATCATAGTCACTTTCTGAAGCCTCCATCATAGTCACTTTCTGAAGCCTCCATCATAGTCACTTTCTGAAGCCTCCATCATAGTCACTTTCTGAAGCCTCCATCATAGTCCACTTTCTGAAGCCTCCATCATAGTCACTTTCTGAAGCCTCCATCATAGTCACTTTCTGAAGCCTCCATCATAGTCACTTTCTGAAGCCTCCATCATAGTCACTGTTCTGAAGCCTCCATCATAGTCACTTTCTGAAGCCTCCATCATAGTCACTTTCTGAAGCCTCCATCATAGTCACTTTCTGAAGCCTCCATCATAGTCACTTTCTGAAGCCTCCATCATAGTCACTTTCTGAAGCCTCCATCATAGTCACTTTCTGAAGCCTCCATCATAGTCACTTTCTGAAGCCTCCATCATAGTCACTTTCTGAAGCCTCCATCATAGTCACTGTTTCTGAAGCCTCCATCATAGTCACTGTTTCTGAAGCCTCCATCATAGTCACTTTCTGAAGCCTCCATCATAGTCACTGTTTCTGAAGCCTCCATCATAGTCACTTTCTGAAGCCTCCATCATAGTCACTTTCTGAAGCCTCCATCATAGTCACTTTCTGAAGCCTCCATCATAGTCACTGTTTCTGAAGCCTCCATCATAGTCACTTTCTGAAGCCTCCATCATAGTCACTTTCTGAAGCCTCCATCATAGTCACTTTCTGAAGCCTCCATCATAGTCACTTTCTGAAGCCTCCATCATAGTCACTTTCTGAAGCCTCCATCATAGTCACTTTCTGAAGCCTCCATCATAGTCACTTTCTGAAGCCTCCATCATTGTCACTGTTGAAATATTCTTGAATAACAGAAATTTAGTAATTTTTATGTGATTATTGATTTTGGAGAACTGGAGACCTGTGCAACATTTGGTAATCTTTATTTTGGAAATATTTTGCCAACAGGTGGCTTCCTCAGTCCGATATGGAGATGAATGGTGGAAGAAGAGTGAGTGCGAGGTAATCAGTCCCTTGAGTTGATGTGTTCAGTCCATCAGTTTTGAGAAAAGTGAGAATAAGATTACCAGACATTGCAGAAGTGTCTAATTCTTCAACTTGTAGGTTTTCTGAACTATTGATTTTGCCGTTTGTTAAAAAATTCTCAGCATTTATGTTGTCTGTGTGCGTCTGTTCCTTGTCTGTCAGTTATATAATTCTCACTATATCAGTATTTATAGTGTTTGTGTGCATCTGTTCCTTGTCTGTCAGTTATGTAATTCTCACTGTATCAGCATTTATGTTGTCTGTGTGTGTCTGTTCTTTGTCAATTACATAATTCACAAAATATATACAGTAGGGCCCCGCTATACGGCATACTTCTAATATGGACATGTCAAATTATGACCAAAATTCTCTATACAGCTCCCCCACCAGACTTTCTAACATGGTCACCGCACTCCAACCAGTTTGTTTACATTTTCTGTGAGCTCCCTGTCTCTCCATTATGTCTGGAAACTTTCCAAAATTTCAAGTGTTTTAAAGTTATTTCATGTTTTATATATCTCTTGATAATTATACTTATTGCAGGTAGTAGGTTGGTAGACAGCAACCACCCAGGGAGGTACTACCGTCCTGTGGTAGTAGGTTGGTAGACAGCAACCACCCAGTGAGGTACTACCGTCCTGTGGTAGTAGGTTGGTAGACAGCAACCACCCAGTGAGGTACTACCGTCCTGTGGTAGTAGGTTGGAAGACAGCAACCACCCAGGGAGGTACTACCGTCCTGTGGTAGTAGGTTGGTAGACAGCAACCACCCAGTGAGGTACTACCGTCCTGTGGTAGTAGGTTGGTAGACAGCAACCACCCAGGGAGGTACTACCGTCCTGTGGTAGTAGGTTGGTAGACAGCAACCGCCCAGGGAGGTACTACCGTCCTGTGGTAGTAGGTTGGTAGACAGCAACCACCCAGGAAGGTACTACTGTCCTGTGGTAGTAGGTTGGTAGACAACAACCACCCAGGGAGGTACTACCGTCCTGTGGTAGTAGGTTGGTAGACAACAACCACCCAGGGAGGTACTACCATCCTGTGGTAGTAGGTTGGTAGACAACAACCACCCAGGGAGGTACTACCGTCTTGCAAAGTGAGTGTAAAACGAAAGCCTGTGATTGTTTTACATGATGGTAGGATTGCTGGTGTCTTTTGTCTGTCTCATAAACATGCAAGATTACAGGTACATCTTGCTACTTCTACTTAAACTTAGGTCACACTACACATACATGTAAAAGCATATATATACACACCCCTCTGGGTTTTCTTCTATTTTCTTTCTAGTTCTTGCTCTTGTTTATTTCCTGTTATCTCCATGGGAAAGTTGAACAGAATTCTTCCTCCGTAAGAAATGCGTGTTGTAAGAGGCAACTAAAATGCCAGAAGCAAGGGGCTAGTAACCCCTTCTGTATAAATTACTAAATTTAAAAAGAGAAACTTTCATTTTTCTTTTTGGGCCACCCTGCCTTGGTGGGATACGGCTGATTTGTTGAAAAAAAAAATATGTATGTTAGTGTAAACTTGTTATCTAGCATATGCATTTGTAAGTGGAAAAAATTGTGTTCTGCTTTCCAGCGATGTCCTCTTTCCAGTGGTAGCCTGGAACCTAACCTGCTGTATAAGTGGGGCCCTCCTGTATGTCAGCATTTATACAATAAGATGACAGTAAACAAGTGATAACACAGTGAAAAAATAATGAATTTCCAAGTGCTTTCATGACTACAGTGCCAATGAATTTGTCTTATAAAATAAATTGCATGTTGTATTATTACAGGTGTTTTCCCAGATGTTACATGTGGGGGTACAGCTGGAGTTTGAAGCAGTACATGAGGTTTTAGGTGCTACTGTTCTTGAGCTCAAGAGAAACCAAGAGAAAATACAGAATCCCGGCCCTAAGGATGATGTAGAGACTGTTAAGGTAAGAAAATAGCTGAGTAAAGTAATCTTAACGAGTGTACAGTAGGGCCTCACATATGCACCTCTCTATTTTTGGTGGTCCATGTATTCGTTGGCTTTCAGTTGAGTCGTTGATCATCATGTTTGGTTCTTGTACCACCTTTTCCGTCGATCTCACACAACATTTGTGTAGGACAACCGGCACTGTATTTTAAGGTAAGTATTGTATGTACTGTGTATGTATTTATTTTACTTTTTATCTGTTTTTTATGCTGAGTGCAGTCATTAATAAAAAAAAATTGCTTTTTTTTTTTTTTTTTTTTTTTTTTTTCCACCAGTGATTTTTTTTCACTTATCACTGAGGGTTAGGAACCTAAGAGCCATATAAACAGGGCTTTCCTGTACCTGGGTAAAGTAGAGTTTTTTTTTTTTTTTTTTTTTTTTTTTTTTTTTTTTTTTTTAATTTGATGGCCATTTCCTGCCAAAGTCGGGTAACCCAAAGATGTGAACACATTCAATATCATTAAAAGAATTACGGTTAAGAGAGAAAGTAGGATTAAAGCAGAGCAAGAAGATTTTAGTAAGGGCAGGGGATGTGTGGACCAAGTGTTTACAATGAAGCATCTATGTTAATAATACCTACTATTACACAAATAACTCCGCACATGGTAGGTAAGACACATAGGCAACAGTTAGGCAACTTTATTCCGAAACGTTTCGCCTACACAGTAGGCTTCTTCAGTCGAGTACAGAAAGTAGGCAGGAACAGTAGAGAAGTGAAGACAATGTAATCAGTCCATCACCCTTGAAGTCGTAGATTTGAGGTTGTCAGTCCCTCAGCCTAGAGAAATTCAGTTCCATAGTCAGGAACTATCTGAAGGTTAAGCGACAGTGCGGAGGCTTAAATACTGTCAGAAGGAGAGGTGCAGAGTAGTAGTAGTGAGAATGTAGCCACTGAGAGGTCATGTCCCTCTCAGATCAAACAATTCTCACTTGTAAAAGTTGTCCAAGGTGTTTTCTGTACCAAGATGCCATTGTGTTGCAGTGTCTTACCTACCAACCTGTCGGTATTGTATACCATTTTGATATTCAACCCCACACATAACAAAAACATGACAATGTTTTGCTCCAACTTAAACCATGAACTACAGGTGGTCCTTGATTTATGATAGGGTTGTGTTCCCACGAACCCATCATAAGTTGAAAATATTAAGAGTTGAATAAGGAGGTGTGATAAATAGGTGGTTTAGAAAGACATGTAAGCAAACACTATAACATATTTATTAGAAAACGTTTCGGTCCTGGGACCTTGATCACTTCTAACATACAGAGGTAGAAAGACATTATATATATAGGCGGAGAGTGAGATGTGACGCACGTTGTAGACAGCCTGTACTGTCTGCACAGACAGCCCATGCTGTCTGCCAGCTTAGTTCATATTTCGCGCCACTCAAGTGCTGCCACCTATAGGCCTTGCCACTTCAGTATGCCCAGACTTGCCTCGCTCTCACTCACACAGCGGCCTGGCTTCAACACACAAGTACTCTCATCTCTCTCTCGCGGGCATGGCCCTGCCCGGGCCATGGGCACAAACACACAAGCCTGTGTAACCCACCACTACTTAACAATAAACTAAGAAGCCTCCGAAGAAGTATATCATTTAACTACCCGCTCTACAGCTACCAAACAAGCCCTTTATAACGTGACCTGAGGAATGTCATAAGAACATAAGAATGGAGGAACACTGTAGAAGGCCTACTGGCCCATGCAAGGCAGGTCCTTATCAAAACAACCTCTACCTATGATGAGGACCAGTAGACGATGAAATCATGTGACTCCTGTGTTGTTGGGTTGGTGCTGCTTAAGTATCATGTATGCCAATGTTTTTGAAATTTTGTAGTTTCCAGTGTTGCGTGATAAATAGGTAAATAATTACTGCCACCAAATAATTAAATAAACCAATAATTACTGGAACTAAATTCCAGTATTGAAAAGTAAATAAATGAATACAAGTTATGGACTTGCCACCTTCATATTGGGTAATTATCTTAAGTTTCGTCTATAAAGTACAGTGGTACCTCGGGATACAAACTCAATTCGTTCCAGACGGCTGTTTGAGTGCCGATACCGAATGAATTTGTTCCCATAAGGAATAATGTAAATTAGATTAATCCGTTTCAGACTCCCAAAAATACACTTACAAATGCACTTACATAAATACACATAATTGTTCGAGCTTTGAGGCGTTTGTATCCCGAGGTACCACTGTATAATGTTTGTATCCCGAGGTACCACTGTATAGTGTTTGTATCCCGAGGTACCACTGTATAATGTTTGTATCCCGAGGTACCACTGTATCCTTATTATCAACGCACTAAAAAACAAGGCAGGAGATTTAAATACCTTACCACCCTTTATATACAAAAAAGTGTCACAAGTACTATCACCAATCATTGCAACACTCTTTAACAAATCCATTGAATCCTCCACCTTCCCTACAGCTCTCAAAATAGCAAGGGTCACCCCAATCCATAAAGGAGGAGACCAAACAGAGTTGAATAACTATAGGCCAATATCCAATTTACACCCTCTCTCAAAAATCTTCGAAAAATTAATTCATAAACGAATCTACTCCTACCTCATCTCCCAAAACATTCTCCACCCCTACCAATTTGGATTCAGGCCTAATAAAAATACTAATGATGCTATTATACACATGCTAGAACATATATACACTGCAATACAGAAAAAAGAAGTCCCACTGGGGATCTTCATTGACTTACGTAAAGCTTTTGATACAGTTGACCATGACTTGCTCCACGTAAAATTGTCACACTATGGTATTAGAGGGCACTCCCTCAACTACCTCAAGTCATACCTCAGCAACAGAAGCCAATATGTGTACGCAAATGGGGCAAGCTCTTCCGCTCAACCAATTACAGTTGGTGTCCCACAGGGAAGTGTCCTTGGCCCTCTTCTCTTTCTCCTATACATAAACGACCTACCAAATGCTTCGCAATTACTCAAACCCACACTTTTTGCAGATGACACTACATACGTCTTCTCTCACCCGAGCCCAGTCACGCTAGCCAATACTGTAAACACCGAATTACAGAAAATATCAACCTGGATGAGGACCAACAAACTTACTCTAAACATTGACAAAACCTACTACATTCAGTTTGGTAACAGAGCTACAGATGTCCCTCTTAACATATTGATAAACGGATCACCTATCACAAAGCTAACAGAGGGAAAATTATTAGGAATCCACCTTGATAATAGACTCAAATTTCATACACATATACAACAAATTTCTAAGAAAATTTCCAAGACATACTATCGAAGATATGGTACTATGCTCCACAGTCAGCCCTCCTGGCCCTTTATCACTCTCTTATTTACCCCTGTCTCACCTATGGAATTTGTGCATGGGGCTCAACAACAATTAACCATCTCAGACCACTAATTACCCAACAAAAGGCTGCAGTTAGAATGATAACAAATTCTCACTACAGGCAGCACACTCCACCAATATTCAATACACTAAACCTACTCACCATACAAAACATCCATACTTATTACTGCACCTATTACATACATAGAACACTTAACTCTGATATTAACCCTCCCCTCAAACATCTCCTTGCCAACCTCAACAGAACACATGACCATAACACAAGGCACAGATCACTCTTTGATGTTTCTCGTGTCCATCTCACACTATGCAAAAACTCAATGCACATAAAAGGCCCTAAAATCTGGAATTCATTACCTGTAAATATAAAAGAAACACTACCTGTTTATAAATTCAAGTCTCTTCTCAAAGATCACTTACTCACTCAAAACCAAATAAATACTGAATAACTGAACCTTATAAATTGTATATCCTAAATGTTACTCACAATTATATCACACAAATGTTAAACCTAGGACCCAATCTAACTTATTATTATTTTAAATACACTACCTAACAGAATACTCCATTCGACTGAATGTACAACAATGCAAGCAACCATATGACCTGTCTTTGTAATACTCATTTGTATTTTATAGTTATCTGTTTACAATAAAGTTTTATCACTGATTACATCATTGCTTAGTTAATCTTAAGTTAATTTTAAGCCAGCCCGTAATGCTATGCATATAAGTGGCTTTGGCATGCTGCTCTTACCTGTATTTTTTTGTACCTCTGTATGTATGCTAAAATTACTAAATAAATAAATAAATAAATAAATATAATGTTTGTATCCCGAGGTACCACTGTATAATGTTTGTATCCCGAGGTACCACGGTACAGGCTCTCCTTATTTAACGACGGAGATGCTTTCATAAGACCACATTGGTAAACAAATTTGTTAAGTGAGGATCATATTATAATGGTCGTGGGTTTGTGTCAACCATCTTTGATAGTGTTTTAATGTCACATTTGCAACATTTATAACATTTCTGGTATATTTTTAAATGTTTATACAGTAGTGTACTGTACATTGTAATAAACAGAATAGAGGAAATCAGCTTTAATATACATTATTTAGGTATTCATACTGGTCAGAGAGCCTGTCGTAAGTCCAAGGCGTTGGTAAAAAAGTACGTTGCTAAGTGAGGAGACGCTGTAATTGCTTTTGCACCATTGTAAAGTAAAAAAATCATAAAGTCGAGGGGCATCTGTAGTTAATGGTTCAAGTTGGATTGAAACATCACAGTGAGTCTCATTCTCCTGTGTGCGGGTTATTTGTGTATTGTTCCGGTCACAATATTGCGACCTTTTATTCTTTAATACCATCTTGTTAATTTTTTTATTGCAGGACGAAATGGAAAGCAACATGATCACAGCTCTCTATCTTATCATGATTGCAATGTGTGTGGCAAAGGGCCGCTCCACATCTCAGCCTGCTGGTGTTGCAAATGGCGTTGGTGGTAACAATGGCATTGGAGGCCTCAATGGAGGCATTGGAATCGCAGGATTTGGAATTCGAAGTGTGGATGGAGAATCTACTGGACACTCTCCCCAACACCTGCATCAGGTTGTTGAAAAAGAAACCCAGGTTCACCACACTGTGTATAGGTAGGTGCTGCAAGTGAAGCCTAGGTCCACCACACTGTGTATAGGTAGGTGCTGCAAGTGAAACCTAGGTCCACCACACTGTGTATAGGTAGGTGCTGCAAGTGAAACCTAGGTCCACCACACTGTGTATAGGTAGGTGCCACAAGTGAAACCTAGGTCCACCACACTGTATAGGTAGGTGCTGCAAGTGAAGCCTAGGTCCACCACACTGTGTATAGGTAGGTGCCACAAGTGAAACCTAGGTCCACCACACTGTATAGGTAGGTGCTGCAAGTGATGCCTAGGTCCACCACACTGTGTATATGGTAGGTCGTCTGCCACCAAGGCAGACGGCAGGGGGACTCAAAAAGGAAGAAAACTATGTAGAGGTTTTCACTTGTGTTATCCTGAGCTATTAACCTCAATAAATGTTCTACAGCCTGGTTCGTGTGGAAGCCAGGACGAGGTCAGGACAGTCACTGCTCCATCTTGCTGTTAACCCAGAGACACCTGTGGACGACTTCCATACTAATCATATATGCAGGTATAGTAGTGTTTTAAGTTCAGTATGTATGCTGATTTGATTAACAGTCAGTAAATTGATCTTTATAGACAGGAGATGTGGAGTTACTAAAGGTATTAGTCAGAGGACTGAAGAGGGGTTGTTTAGATGGTTTGGTCATTTAGAGAGAATGAATCAAAGTAGAATGACTTGGAGAGCGTATAAATCTGTAGGGGAAGGAAGGCAGGGTAGGGGTCATCCTCGAAAAGGTTTGAGGGAGGGGGTAAAGGAGGTTTCGTGGGCGAAGGGCTTGGACTTCCAGCAAGCATGTGTGAGCGTGTTAGGGGAGGATGGGGAGGAATGGTTTTAGGGACCTGACAAGCTGTTGGAGTGTGAGCAGGGTAATATTTGTGAAGGGATTCAGGGAAACCGGTTAGCCGGACTTGAGTCCTGGAAATGGGAAGTACAATGCCTGCACTTCAAAGGAGGAGTTTGGGATATTGGCAGTTTGGAGTGACTATCTAAACCGTCGTATCTGAGCGCCTCTGCGAAGACTGTGATTGTGTGAGTGTGGTGAAAGTGTTGAATGATGATGACAGTATTTTCTTTTGGGGGATTTTCTTTCTTTTTGGGTCACCCTGCCTCGGTGGGAGACGACCGACGTATTAAAAAAAAAAGTGATTACATCAGACCTTCTCATAATAACCAGTGATAGAAGTGTGTTTAACCTTGCAGGTCACTGACATGACATTTTACAGATGGTTGTATAAGAGATGAGGTGTATGTATAAGTGGATGTATAAAATAAGGTGAACCATACAATAAATGAGGGGATACAAAAATGGTAAGTACTGGATTAAATCATTGTGAAAATATAGAAATTGATACATGAATGAAGAAAGGGGAATGTAGCAGAGTATAGTGGTGCCAACACTGTTATATGTAGCAGAGTATAGTGGCACCAGCACTGTTATATGTAGCAGAGTATAGTTTACCTGGAGTTTACCTGGAGAGAGTTCCGGGGGTCAACGCCCCCGCAGCCCAGTCTGTGACCAGGCCTCCTGGTGGATCAGAGCCTGATCAACCAGGCTGTTGCTGCTGGCTGCACGCAAACCAACGTACGAGCCACAGCCCGGCTGGTCAGGAACCGACTTTAGGTGCTTGTCCAGTGCCAGCTTGTAGACTGCCAGGGGTCTGTTGGTAATCCCCCTTATTTATGCTGGGAGGCAGTTGAACAGTCTCGGGCCCCTGACACTTATTGTATGGTCTCTTAACGTGCTAGTGATGCCCCTGCTTTTCATTGGGGGGATGTTGCATCGTCTGCCAAGTCTTTTGCTTTGGTAGTGAGTGATTTTCGTGTGCAAGTTCGGTACTAGTCCCTCTAGGATTTTCCAGGTGTATATAATCATGTATCTCTCCCGCCTGCGTTCCAGGGAATACAGTTTTAGGAACCTCAAGCGCTCCCAGTAATTGAGGTGTTTTATCTCCGTTATGCGCGCCGTGAAGGTTCTCTGTACATTTTCTAGGTCAGCAATTTCACCTGCCTTGAAAGGTGCTGTTAGTGTGCAGCAATATTCCAGCCTAGATAGAACAAGTGACCTGAAGAGTGTCATCATGGGCTTGGCCTCCCTAGTTTTGAAGGTTCTCATTATCCATCCTGTCAGTGCCAACACTGTTATATGTAGCAGAGTATAGTGGTACCAGCACTGTTATACGTAGCAGAGTATAGTGGTACCAACACTGTTATATGTAGCAGAGTATAGTGGTACTAACACTGTTATATGTAGCAGGGTATAGTGGTACCAGCATGTTATATGTAGCAGAGTATAGTGGTACCAGCACTGTTATATGTAGCAGAGTATAGTGGTACCAACACTGTTATATGTAGCAGAGTATAGTGGTACCAACACTTATATGTAGTGGAGTTTAGTGGTACCAGTGCTGTTATATGTAGTGTGAGTCTTTGTTAAATTCATTTTAAGTGCTACAGGTACTGAGGCCCCTGGGCTACAGGTACTGTGAGGCCCCTGGGATACAGGTACTGTGAGGCCCTTGGGCTACAGGTACTGTGAGGCCCTTGGGCTACAGGTACTGTGAGGCCCTTGGGCTACAGGTACTGTGAGGCCCTTGGGCTACAGGTACTGTGAGGCCCTTGGGCTACAGGTACTGTGAGGCCCCTGGGCTACAGGTACTATGAAGCCCCTGGGCTACAGGTACTGTGAAGGTCCTGGGCTACAGGTACTGTGAGGGTCCTGGGCTACAGGTACTGTGAGGCCCTTGGGCTACAAGTGCTGTGAGGCCCCTGGGCTATAGATACTGTGAGGCCCCTGGGCTACAGATACTGTGAGGCCCCTGGGCTACAGGTACTGTGAGGCACCTGGGCTACAAGTGCTGTGAGGCCCTTGGGCTACAAGTGCTGTGAGGCCCCTGGGCTACAGGTACTGTGAGGCCCCTGGGCTACAGGTACTGTGAGGCCCCTGGGCTAAAAGTGCTGTGAGGCCCCTGGGCTGGAGGCCCTCCAGCTGGTGGAGGCCCCTGGGCTGTACCCCCTGGAGGCCCTCCATCTGGTGGAGGCCCCTGGGCTGCAGCCCCTGGAGGCCCTCCAGCTGTCAGAGGACCCTGGGCTGCAGCCCCTAAAGCCCATGCCTTAATCCGGCCCTCCAAATGGGGGACAATGCAGTTCAGAGATCATCTGAACTGTAATGTCAGCACACTTTTGAAAAGGTAGGGATAGAATGAATAATGGTGACTGTGTTTTCTTCTTTTGGTCACCTGCCTTGGCAGGAGCTGACCGCTGAGTTAAAAATGAAAAAATTCAGAGGTTATGAATATTTTTCAGATTTCCGTGTGCCACAACAACCAAGTTACTAATAGCATGTGGAGCTGATGTCAACAGTATGGACAAGAACCGTAACACTCCACTACACCTGATTGTTCCCTATCAGAAACCCATCAGGTAAGGTGAAAAAAAGACTGATGTACAGTTCACAACTTTTCTTATAGCAAACTTTTTACTGTGAGTAACATCTTCAGTCGTAATACACAGATGATTAAGAAACAGTATATATAGTGTCGGCTGTGGCGGCAGCAGCAGAAACAGAAGCAGCAGCAGCAGCAGCAGCAGAAATAGTAGCAGTAACAGCAGCAGTAGCAGCAGAAGCAGTAGCAGTAGCAGCAGAAGCAGCAGCAGCAGCAGCAGAAGCAGCAGCAGCAGCAGAAGCAGAAGCAGTGGCAGCAGCAGAAGCAGAAGCAGTAACAGCAGAAGCAGTGGCAGAAGCAGTAGCAGCAGCAGAAGAAGAAGCAGCAGCAGCAGCAGCAGTGGCAGCAGTAGAAGCAGTAGCAGTGGCAGCAGCAGAAGCAATAGCAGTGGCAGCAGCAGAAACAGTAATAGCAGTAGCAGCAGCATCAGCAGAAGCAGCAATAGCAGCAGCAACAGTAACAGCATCAGTAGCAGTAATAGCAGCAGCAGTAGCAGCAGCAGCAGCATCAGCAGTAGCAGCAGTAGTACAATTGTAGTGATATACAGGTCGGCCATCACTAATCTGGCATCATTGGGACCTGTAGTGTGCTGTATTAGTGAGTTCGCTGGATTACAGAGTGGTTAGGCTAGAATACACTTAATTAATATATCAACAGAGAGACTGCTACATGTTCCTCATTTTCATCACAGCTTTCTCCTCCACTGGCTTGCTGCTGTGGATTTATAACCATCTGCACAATTTCTGAGACAGTATAATGATGAAATTTGAGTCAGTATAATGATGAAATTTGAAATTATGCTAGCTGAAACAACAGTAACAATAATAACAGTAGCAGCAATAACAATTAGTGCCGGATTACTGATGGAACTGGATAACTGACTGCCGGAGTAGTGATGGCCGACCTGTGCTACATTCATTTTCCTCCAAAAATTTATTCTTCATTTAACATCTTTGATATTTATTTACCTCCATAGTCTTTAATATTTACTGTATGCAAAATAACCATAGTGAAAAAAATATTAAAATTACACTCATGATCTCTCGCATTATCAAGGAATAACGATAATCCAAGAAACCACAAAAGCGCTTGGAATTTCACTGTTTTCACTGGTTATTTTGCGTATAGTTCCTTGTAAATAGACATTAATGTCTATTTTTATGTATTTACAGTGACTTCCTCACCCTACATAACATTATCATGGCACTAATAGAGAACGGAGCGCATATGGACACTGTCAACCAGATGGGAGCGACTCCTTTTGACTCTGCGACTACTGGTAAGTTGAGGAATACCAGTCACAGTTGAACAATACCAGTCACAGTTGAACAATACCAGTCACAGTTGAACAATACCAGTCACAGTTGAACAATACCAGTCACAGTTGAACAATACCAGTCACAGTTGAACAATACCAGTCACAGTTGAACAATACCAGTCACAGTTGAACAATACCAGTCACAGTTGAAATACCCAATACATACCAGCCACAGTTGAACAATACCAGCCACAGTTGAACAATACCAGCCACAGTTGAACAATACCAGCCACAGTTGAACAATACCAGCCACAGTTGAACAATACCAGCCACAGTTGAACAATACCAGCCACAGTTGAACAATACCAGCCACAGTTGAACAATACCAGCCACAGTTGAACAATACCAGCCACAGTTGAACGATACCAGCCACAGTTGAACGATACCAGCCACAGTTGAACGATACCAGCCACAGTTGAACGATACCAGCCACAGTTGAACGATACCAGTCACAGTTGAACGATACCAGTCACAGTTGAACGATACCAGTCACAGTTGAACGATACCAGTCACAGTTGAACAATACCAGTCACAGTTGAACGATACCAGTCACAGTTGAACGATACAAGTGTGTGCAGGATGACGGGTACTGTCATCCTGCACACACTAGCACATACATAGCTCGCTAATACAGCGCTTGCTTTACAGCACTTTGCTAATACAGTGGACCCCCGGTTAACGATATTTTTTCATTCCAGAAGTATGTTCAGGTGCCAGTACTGACCAAATTTGTTCCCATAAGGAATATTGTGAAGTAGATTAGTCCATTTCAGACCCCCAAACATACACGTACAAACGCACTTACATTAATACACTTACATAATTGGTCGCATTGGGAGGTGATCATTAAGCGGGGGGTCCACTGTACTGCACTTTTTAATTATGCTTTTTTAGCAGACTAGCTGTATCCCACCAAGGCAGGGTGACCCAAAAAGAAAAACAAAAGCTTTTTTTTTTTTTTTTAAATTTAGTAATTTATACAGAAGGGTTACTAGCCCCTTGCTTCCAGCATTTTAGTCACCTCTTACAACACTCATGGCTGATGGAGGAAGAATTCTGTTCCATTTCCCCATGTTGGTTGGTAAGACACACAGGCAACTTTATTCCTGCCTACTTTCTGTATACGACTGAAGAAGCCTACCGTGTAGGCGAAACGTTTCGGAATAAAGTTACCTAACTGTTGCCTATGTGTCTTACCTACCAACTTGTCGGTATTGTGTACCATTTTGATGTTCATCCATTTCCCCATGGAAAACTTTTTAATTACGTTGTGTATTATTTTTGGCACTTGCCTTCTTCGTGAGATGGTTTTCGACATTTTTTGAAAAAAATAAAAGATTATTTTTACTTTTACATTTTTTTTAGGCCTAGTACAATTGTGCACTTAATAAATGATGGTGTTGATATGTTTTTAGGCTTTAATATGCAGTGAAAAGTTAAAAAAAATTGTGGTTTGATTTAAGGTGACAGTCTGGAGCCTAACCCATTGTATTAGCCACATTTTTTTTTTTTTTCAGCATGTTGGCCATCTCCCACTGAGGCAGGTGACCCAAAAAAGAAAGAAACACTTTCACCATCGTTCACACTTAATCACTGTCTTTGCAGAGGCGCCCAAATATGACAGTTTAGATGTCGCTCCAAACAGCCAATATCCCAAACCCCTCCTTTAAAGTGCAGGCATTGTACTTTCCACCTCCAGGACTCAAGTCTGGCTAACTGGTTTCCCTGAATCCCTTCAAAAAATATTACCCTGCTCTCACACTAACAGCTTGTCAGGTCCCAAAAGCCGTTCATCTCCATTCACTCCTAGCTCACAGTTGCCTGTTGTATGTCCAAGCCCCTTGCACACAAAACCTCTTTTACCCCCTCCCTCCATCCTTTCCTAGGATGACCCCTACTCATTCTTCCCCTCCAGTACAGATTTATACAACCCTCCAAGTCATCCTACTTTGCTCCATCCTCTCTAAATGACCAAACCACCTCAACAACCCCTTTGAATAATACTTTTAGAAACTCCACACCTCCTGATTTCCACACTATGAATTCTCTGCATAATATTTAAACCACACATTGCCCTTAGACATGAGATCTCTACTGCCTCCACCCCCCATCCTCGGTGGGAGACGGCCAACTTGTTAAAAAAAAAAAATATTAGCCACATATTCCTGTATAAAACTTTGTTTCATTGTGAATAAATTTGTGAATAAATTTATTGGACATGATTGCAGTTAAATTTTTAATTTGCCTGAACACATAATTATACTGCAGTTTTAAAGATTTTCTTCATTTTCAGGTGTGGCGGAGATAATTCTTCGAACTCAGAAAAAGTTGAGCCTGAAATGTCTGGCAGCTAAAGCAGTCAAGATCAATGGGATCTTATACAAGGGTCAAGTTCCTCGACACTTAGAAGCTTTTATTGAACTTCACGGTCCGGGCCATGTCGACGGACTCTCTAATAGACCTTGCAAAGGTGAACATCGACTATGAAGGCCATAGACATGATAATCTCTTTTATTTTTGTTCATGTCACTCATTTTACCTTGAGTTTTAACATGCTATATCAATTTAATTTATTGAACCAAACTAACTATTAATTATGAGAGGATCCTGAGGTTGTTACCTCAGTGTTCCAAGTGAACGTATGTTTGGAATAAATCCCTTAAACCAGTATTAAAGCCAATATACTCCCATGTTCTATGTTGCTTGTTCTTCAGGTGACACTTGTGAGACTTATGTTTTGTTATCTTGTACATATGTCTACAGATATTGCTAATAAAGATTTTATGTATTTTGACTTTCATTGTTTTGTTGGGGGAAGCCTGTGTAAGATTACCCTGATCTTACTTGTGCTGAGACACAGTACTGTACGTCAGATTGTAAACTTAAGGAAGCCTGTGTAAGATTACCCTGATCTTACTAGTGCTGAGACACAGTACTGTACGTCAGACTGTAAACTTAAGGAAGCCTGTGTAAGATTACATCACCTTGATCTTACTAGTGCTGAGAAACAATACTGTACGTCAGATTGTAAACTTAAGGAAGCCTTTAGTTAGTTAATTATTTGTTTATTTACTTACTCAGCAACAGTTATTTATTTATATGTTGATCCAGGAGAAGTTTGGGATATTGGCAGTTAGGAGTGACTATCTAAACTGTCGTATCTGAGTGCCTCTGCAAAGGCAGTGATTATGTATGAGTGGTGGAAGTGTTGAATGATAATGAAAGTTTTTTCTTTCTTTTTGGATTTTTCTTTCTTTTAGGTCACCTGCCTTGGTGGGAAACGACTGACATCTTAAAAAAAAAAAAAATGTTGATCATATTTGACTTGCAATATTTTCAACTTATGATGGGTTCCTCAGGATGTAACCCCCATCGTAAGGTGTGGATCATCTGTACTTGAGAACTGACCTCACCTGATAACATTTAACCCAACTTATGATGGGTTCCTCAGGATGTAACCCCCATCGTAAGGTGTGGATCATCTGTACTCGAGAACTGACCTCACCTGATAACATTTAACCCTTAAACTGTCCAAACGTAGATCTACGTTCACTCGTGTAGCACTCCGAACGTAGATTTACACTTTATTTTACATGCTTTCAAATGTAAAAAAAAACTTGGATCTACGTTCGGAGCACTATGCAAGTGAACGTAGATCGAAATTTGGACAGTTTAAGGGTTAAAATAGTATACCTATCTCACTCTTGTATACTGGTAGGCAGGAACTATCCAAGGAGGTGTTACTATTCTGTCATCTAATTGTAAATCTTTTAAATATTTTTCAGTCTTGCAGGCTTGATCTTTTCTTTATCGAGCATGTAAGATGGCAGGTAAATCTTTGTTTATTGAGCATGTAAGATGGCAGGTAAATCTTTGTTTATCGAGCATGTAAGATGGCAGGTAAATCTTTGTTTATTGAGCATGTAAGATGGCAGGTAAATCTTACAAACTAATAATTCTTTCTTTCAACACATCGGCCGTATCCCACCGAGGCAGGGTGGCCCAAAAGGAAAAACAAAAGTTTCTCCTTTTACATTTAGTAATATATACAGGAGAAGGGGTTACTAGCCCCTTGCTCCCGGCATTTTAGTTGCCTCTTACAACACGCATGGCGTACGGAGGAAGAATTCTGTTCCACTTCCCCATGGAGATAAGAAATAAACAAGAACAAGAACTAGAAAGAAAATAGAAGAAAACCCAGAGGGGTATGTATATATACGCTTGTACATGTATGTGTAGTGTGACCTAAGTGTAAGTAGAAGTAGCAAGATGTACCCGAAATCTTGCATGTTTATGAGACAGACAAAAGACACCAGCAATCCTACCATCATGTAAAACAATTACAGGCTTTCGTTTTACACTCACTTGGCAGGACGGTAGTACCTCCCTGGGCGGTTGTTGTCTACCAACCTACTACCACAGGATGGTAGTACCTCCCTGGGTGGTTGTTGTCTACCAACCTACTACCACAGGATGGTAGTACCTCCCTGGGCGGTTGCTGTCTACCAACCTACTACCACAGGATGGTAGTACCTCCCTGGGTGGTTGTTGTCTACCAACCTACTACCACAGGACAGTAGTACCTCCCTGGGTGGTTGTTGTCTACCAACCTACTACCACAGGACGGTAGTACCTCCCTGGGTGGTTGTTGTCTACCAACCTACTACCACAGGATGGTAGTACCTCCCTGGGTGGTTGTTGTCTACCAACCTACTACCACAGGACGGTAGTACCTCCCTGGGTGCTTGTTGTCTACCAACCTACTACCACAGGATGGTAGTACCTCCCTGGGTGGTTGTTGTCTACCAACCTACTACCACAGGACGGTAGTACCTCCCTGGGTGGTTGTTGTCTACCAACCTACTACCTACAAAACTAATAATTGCTTCCTATATATTTTTCTCTGTTTCTTTGTAGTTCTTAGTATTGTAAATTTTTTCAATGATGTATTTAATTTTTTAACAAAAAAACTCCCTCTAAACTTAATTAAGGTGTACTATACAATGTTACGAATAACTAAAGTGTACTGAACACTCATCAGTGTTATTAAACCATACCCCGGCCGGGATTGAACCCATGGTCAGAGAGTCTCAAAACTCCAGCCCGTCGCGTTAGCCACTAGACCAGCTAGCCACAATAAGATTCGTCCAACTAGGTATATTTCTACACCATAGGAAGGTTAGCACAGGCACCACTGTGACCACAAATGCAAGTTTTTACAGACGAATCTCCAGCTAGCGTGGCCGTGACGAACTCTAGCTCAAGTCCCTTCACTGCCGTCAACATGACTCACGAAATCGTAATGACACGATTGCAAACAAACCATACCCCGTGGCTAACGCGACGGGCTGGAGTTTTGAGACTCTATGACCGCGGGTTCAATCCCGGCCGGGGTATGGTTTGTTTGCAATCGTGTCATTACGATTTCGTGAGTCATGTTGACAGCAGTGAAGGGACTTGAGCTAGAGTTCGTCACGGCCACGCTAGCTGGAGATTCGTCTGTAAAAACTTGCATTTGTGGTCACAGTGGTGCCTGTGCTAACCTTCCTATGGTGTAGAAATATACCTAGTTGGATGAATCTTATTGTGGCTAGCTGGTCTAGTGGCTAACACGACGGGCTGGAGTTTTGAGATTCTCTGACCGCGGGTTCAATCCCGGCCGGGGTATGGTTTGTTTGCAATCGTGTCATTACGATTTCGTGAGTCATCAGTGTTATTAATAACACTTGTCAGTGTTATTAATAACACTTGTCAGTGTTATTAATAACACTTGTCAGTGTTATTAATAACACTTGTCAAGTGTTATTAATAACACTTGTCAGTGTTATTAATAACACTTGTCAGTGTTATTAATAACACTTGTCAGTGTTATTAATAACACTTGTCAGTGTTATTAATGAACACTCGTCAGTGTTATTAATAACACTTGTTAGTGTTATTAATAACACTAACAAGTGTTAATAACACTTGTTAGTGTTATTAATGAACACTCCTCAGTGTTATTAATAACACTTGTCAGTGTTATTAATAACACTTGTCAGTGTTATTAATAACACTTGTCAGTGTTATTAATAACACTTGTCAGTGTTATTAATAACACTTGTCAGTGTTATTAATAACACTTGTCAGTGTTATTAATAACACTTGTCAATGTTATTAATAACACTTGTCAGTGTTATTAATAACACTTGTCAATGTTATTAATAACACTTGTCAGTGTTATTAATAACACTCGTCAGTGTTATTAATAACACTTGTCAGTGTTATTAATAACACTCGTCAGTGTTATTAATAACACTTGTCAGTGTTCATTAATAACACACATGAAGACAAAAACTCAGATGATTAATTAATCTGTATATTTTGACCTCGTACTGGGGTCCTCTTCAGCAGAAAAGGACCCTAAAAGGGGGGTTGAAATATACGGGTTTAAAATTAACCTCCTGATTTTGGGTTTCCAAGTTATTAGGGGGCATAAAATTTTTAAATTTTTAAACGTTTGGGGCTTGTAGCTTCCCTCATGGGAGGTTCCATGTTTGCTGAGAGGCTCAAAGGGGGGTTCCCAAATGCCCCTGAAGGCTCGAGGGATTTTCCATGTTGCGGGGGAGGCCGAGGGGGGTTTCCATGCTGCTGAGGGCTCGAGGGGGTTTTCCAAGCTGCTGAGAGGCTCGGGGAGGTTCCATTTTGTTTGAGAGGCTTGGGGGGATTTTCCCAAATGTTGCGGGAGAGGCCGGGGGAGGCCCCATGTTGCTGAAGGTCGAGGGGGGTTTCCCACCAGCTGAGAGGCCGAGGGGGGTTTTCCAAATTTTTGCTGAAAGGTTTGAGGGGGGTTCCATTTTGCTGAGAGGCCGAGGGGAGGTTCCATTTTTGGCTGAAGCTCGAGGGAGGTTCCAGGGCTGCTGAGGGGCTCGAGGGGGGTTCCTTTGCTGCGAAAAGGCTCGAGGGGGGTTTCCCAAAGCTGCTAAGGGGCTCGAGGGGGGTTTTCCATGCTGCTGAAGGCCAAAGGGAGGTTCCAGTTTCTGAAGGCTCGAGGGGGGTTTCCATGCGCTAAGGCTCGAGGGGGGTTTCCCAAAGCTGCTGAAAAGGCCCGAGGGATTTTTTCCGTGCTGCTGAGGGGCCTCGAGGGAGGTTCCTGCTGCGAAAAGGCTCGGGGGGAAGGTTCCATGCTCGAGAGGCTCGAGGGGGGTTCCATGTTGCTGAGAGGCCCGGGGGGGTTCCATGTTCCCTAAAGGGGCCCTCGGGGGAGGTTCCATCGCTGAAGGCTCGGGGGAGGTTCCATGCTGTTTAAGGCCAAAGGGGGGTTCCAGGGCTGCTGAAGGCTCGGGGGAGGTTCCATGCTGCGAAGGCCGAGGGGGGTTCCATGCGCTGAGGGGCTCGGGGGAGGTTCCATGTTGCTAAAGGCTCGAGGGGGGTTTCCCCATGCTGCTGAGAGGCTCGAGGGGGGTTCCATCTGCGGGAGAGGCCGGGGGAAGGTTTCCAGCTGCGAGAGGTTTCGAGGGGGGTTTCCCCATGCTGCTGAGAGGCTCGAGGGGGGGTTCCCAAATCTGCTGAGGGGGCTCGGGGGAGGTTCCATGCTGCTAAGAGGCTCAGGGAGGTTCCATGCTCCCAAAAAGGCTGGGAGGGGGGTTTTCCGTGCTCCCTAAAGGGGCTCGAGGGAGGTTCCATGCTGCTAAAGGGGCTCGAGGGAGGTTCCACCTTGTTTAAAGGGCCCGAGGGGTTCCATGTTGCTGAGAGGCCGAGGGAGGTTCCATTTGGGCGAGGGGCCCTCAAAGGGAGGTTCCATGCTGC